TGCATTCTATCGATGCCACAGATTGTCGTTTTAAGCAAGTGACGTTTATTAGTGTATGCGCCCATATGTAATGCGATTAAATATGACATGTTAAATATAATTCATGTACGTGATGACGCAGATGTTCTCGCTACCCCAAATTCAATTAGCACATTACGGAATAGAGCTACACAATTATAGTCAAAGATTTGCAACAATGTAAAATATAATATTAGAGTAGTCAAGTTCACTTGTACATACATTGAAAGTCGACATTTCTATAACGCGAGAGGCACGACACATGGCATTCCAAGCCACCACTGTTTCACACTGTTCAGTTTAGCTTCATGCCGTCCGATCAAACTCTCCGATCTCCGTTCATTTTCTGGCGGTAAATCGCTTCCCGCTTCACGCTTCCCTCCACAGAAATCGCAACGCTGTGTGAACGAGCGAGAGGCCCTGGTTTATGGGCAAGTGAACAGTAATTTAACGACAAACTTCAAGCACTGCGGACGAACGACAGTATACGCCCATCGACGGGGTGAATCCGAAGATGCAGAACTGCCGCAAAAGAAAACTGCACAGTAAATGAGTGTTCGAAGCAGAATTCAACCCCAGAAATGACCCCTCCCCCCCCCCTACCTCAGACCCGCATTTTCACGTTTTTGCGATGTCCCTCGCAAGGAGGCTCGGCATGCCTTCCGAAGCAGGAAACCCGAACTCAAGATTTCGTTCCGCAGCCTTGCCCGCACCCCCCTGAAATCGATTAGCCAGTCAACTCCTTTCCAATGACTGCCCCGGGAGCATTTCAGGTTTTCCCGGAGCCTGCCAGTTCGGCAGCGGTTCGAGGAGCCTCGTTCCTCCCATACCGTCCCCCCCTCTCGTTGCTCCTCCCCACAACTCTCCCTCTCTGCCCTCCCTCTTGACATCTCGTCTTCAAATTCACTCTACCACCATTCAGTCATATTCATTCTATACTTCTCAGTTTCCTAGCAACCTGAAGGCTTACCCTCGTTCTTGTTACGACAATTCCCTACCACTTCGTTTTCAACGCCAGTAGCTCCGTTTACCGTAATTACTTAAAATCAGCTAGTATGGCTGATTATTCTTCTGATTATCCAACTTTTTATGAAGCCCTAGCCTTCTTTAAAAACAGGGAAGCACTCATGCTGTCGCTCTTTTTGTTCCAGCCTCCGCATCTCCGTATCTGGCTGCAGCGGAAGAGGAGGAGCATTCCTGGAGCGAGGCGGCATGGGACTCCTCTGACGCTGCAGAGGACTCATCCGAGGCTGCAGAGGAGGCATTCTTGGCACCAGAAACGTCAGATGACGCTGCCGTGTACTCCTCTGAAACTTTAGTGGATCTTTCCGGTCCCACTAAAGGCCTCGTTGAGGCTGCAGTGGTTTCCTCTCTGATGCTGCAGATGCCTCTTCTAAGAATGCTTTAGAGACGGAGAGCAGCTCCAGCAGCAGCTTCAGCAACACTGCGAGCAACACTGCCTCTTCTGTTTATCACAGGCTCTACAGCACGGGAGAATACATTGACTGCAGCCGTTTCAGCTATGCCTTTGCTTGGGCAAACGTCACCAGAGACGTGGTCAGTGGCGTCTACAGCACCTTGAAGAAGGGCAGAAGTGAAGGCTCAGAAACGGCAGCAACGTTGTCTACAGCAGTTTCTGTTGACGTGGGAGCTGCTGTGGCGGCTGCTGACGTGGGAGCTGCTGTGGCTGCGAAAGTGAAATTGGCAGCAGCCAGCCTGAGTCTGCCGCTGCCTTCAAGCATCCCCAAGCCTGGCACTGGATGGGCTGCCAGCAAGGCTCGGGCGAGGACGGCAGCAGCAAGTGCAAACGTGCTGCCGTCCCTCATTCCCAAGCCACGGTGCTGCAGGAATGCAACTCGTGCAGTGGAGGCTTCTTCACGGGCTGCTGATCCTGTGGTAACCCGTGCTGTAGTCACAGCAAGCAGCAGTACAGGAGAGCAGGAGGGGAGGAGGAATGGCAGTGTGGTATGCAGAGGGAGGCGGGCTATCAGGGTGAGGAAGACAGCGGTGTCGACTTCAAGGGCCGCCGATGGTGCTGTGGTAACCATTCGTGTAATCGCAGCAAGCAGCAGCACTAGGCAGCAGCAGGAGAGGAGGAATGGCGGTGCGGAATGCGGAGGGAGGCGACCCTCCAGGGCGAGTAAGGCAGCAGCAGCAGCAGCAAGGCCTCCTTGGAGGCCGTGAGGGCCGCAGTGTGAGGTGGAGAGTGGAACAGTGGGGGTTGATTGGAGCGAGCAGAGAGCATCAAGGTACAGCTGGGGAAGGCACGGGGTGGTGGACAGTGGGGAGGAAGGCGGCAACACTTTTTGCACCCTGCTGGTCAGGGTGTTGTAGCAACTGGATGGTGGGTTGGAGCATGGAGGCTGGATTGTGGGAGGGACTTGGATGACTGAAGCTGCTAACGTGCTCTCCAATGGGTCAGAGGCTGGGCCATGTGATGACCGAGGCTTGGCATGGGATGATGCTGCGTGCTGCTTAGTTGGCTGGCTTCTTAGAATGTAGTTATCTATGTACATGCATGCAACTAGTGATTGGTTGTAAACCTTGTTTGACCGATCAGAAACACTTACAAGCTAAATATCTAGGCAGCACCAATGCGTATGCCAGCCTACCAGTATGGTGTATTGTAGTGTGACAAGTAAGCACAGCTAGACGCTGGGCCATGTAATGACTACCGGTACTGTGCTGCATAATGGGCTGACATTCTTTGAACGTACTTTCAAAACCATCCCTTCCATAAACCCTGCAAGGTAGATGCCCTAATTCCCTTCGGGGCAAATGAGTCATTCAAGGTAGCACCTCCATTGACATGTCCGCCTCGCCTCAAGGCATGGAACTGTGACAACCAATCACTTCTGACCTAACCGCGGTAGCTTCAAAGGGAAAATCAAGCAGCATCAAAATGCAGTGAGCATGTGATGTGATGCTGTCACATGCAGCATCCTTTAGTGCCACATGAGCCTGTCACTGCAAGCATCGTACGAGTGCTTTCCCTGTTTGCAGCACGTCAGCACAGATGAGAGATGTTCCTTGTTGCGCCTTCGAGGTACGGTAGTGGGAGTTGTAGCACCCAATTAACACCACCGCCACCGCCGCTGCCGTTGCCAACACCACCACCTGCTCCTGTCTTCTCCTGCTCCTGCCTACTCCTGCTACTCACCTTCTGCTGCTCCTCACCTTCTTCTGCTCCTGACCTTCTCCTCCTCACTGTCTCCTGATTTTCTTGTTAGAACATTCCCTTTATGGGCTGAGATGCCTCTGTAACACACGAATCAAAGGCAGGCGATGGGTGAGGAGGGCAGGTGAGGGTAGGTGAGGGGAGGTGAGGGGAGGTGAAGGGACATGAGTGAATAATAAACAGCAGCCAAAAAGAAAGAAAGAAAGACGGAATATTAGGGGGAACAGAGGGGGTGGGGTTGGCATTGTGATGTGTGTGGTGTGTGGATGATGCGAGTGAAAAACACCTGGTCGCTGGCAACACGGGGCATGTGCAGTGGTGCATGTGCAGTGGTGCATGTGCAGTGGTGCATGTGCAGTGGTGCATGTGCAGTGGTGCATGTGCAGTGGTGCATGTGCAGTGGTGCATGTGCAGTGGTGCATGTGCAGTGGTGCATGTGCAGTGGTGCATGTGCAGTGGTGCATGTGCAGTGGTGCATGTGCAGTGGTGCATGTGCAGTGGTGCATGTGCAGTGGTGCATGTGCAGTGGTGCATGTGCAGTGGTGCATGTGCAGTGGTGCATGTGCAGTGGTGCATGTGCAGTGGTGCATGTGCAGTGGTGCATGTGCAGTGGTGCATGTGCAGTGGTGCATGTGCAGTGGTGCATGTGCAGTGGTGCATGTGCAGTGGTGCATGTGCAGTGGTGCATGTGCAGTGGTGCATGTGCAGTGGTGCATGTGCAGTGGTGCATGTGCAGTGGTGCATGTGCAGTGGTGCATGTGCAGTGGTGCATGTGCAGTGGTGCATGTGCAGTGGTGCATGTGCAGTGGTGCATGTGCAGTGGTGCATGTGCAGTGGTGCATGTGCAGTGGTGCATGTGCAGTGGTGCGTGCATGCACACGCACTGCTGGACCCCCCATGTGCTTCATTCCATCTCAAGCTGCCCCTCCACACAGGAGCACTCAAGAGGAGGCCGTGGGAGGGCTGCTGAGGTGAGGGTACAGGAAAGCATGGGAGATCAGTTGAGGGGACGGGAGAGCAGGGGGGCAGATGGATTGCAAAGGAGACCGTGTGCGAACACACTATTACAAACCCCCTGAGAACGTGCCTGTCTTGACAGAAACACCACCCCCCTTGAAGTCACAAGCACGTAGAGATCACACCCACCTTACGGCAGCACGCACCTTGAGGTGGCTCCACGAGTGCCCCTCCTCGGCGCGACAGCGGGCTGCGTCTAGTTGAAGCCCTGCTGCACGTGCTCACCCCTGAGACTCACCCGCACGCTCTTCTCCCTGCCGTCCGCATCTGGTGGGTGCATGGTCGGAGTGAGGGGAGAGCAAGGGTAGGAGGGGAAAGGAGGAAAGGTTAGGGGGATAGTTGAGGGTTGAGAGAGAATTCATCCACAGAATCTTGTCGCTGTTGGCCGAATGTGGTACATGCAACAGCATGCTGAACAGAGGGGGGGGGGGTGTGTGCAAAGTAGGAAGGTAGTAGAGAGGGCTCTAGGAAGGGACAATGAAGAGCAACGGGCAGCGCAGTGTAGGGGGGTGAGAGAGGGGCGGGAAGAAGAAGAGGGTGGGGGGAAGTGTGGCATGAGTGCTGAAGAAGGCATGGGAAGGAAAAAATTGACATTCAAGTCACATTCAAGTCACATTCAAGTCACATTCAAGTCACATTCAAGTCACATTCAAATCACATTCAAGTCACACTCAAGTCACATTCAAGTCACATTCAACTCAAACTGCATCCAAGTCACATTCAAGCCACTTCCAAGTTACGTACAATGCCTTCTCTTGCTCTCATATACTGCAAACTTGTTCCATGCCTAGCAGACCATGCCTAGCAGACCATGCCCAGCACACCCCATGCCCAGCACACCCCATGCCCAGCACACCCCATGCCCAGCACACCCCATGCCCAGCACACCCCATGCCCAGCACACCCCATGCCACCAAACCCCATGCCACCATACCCCTTGCCACCATACCCCATGCCACCATACCCCATGCCACCATACCCCATGCCCAGCATACCCCGTGCCACCATACCCCATTCCACCATACCCCATGCCACCATACCCCATGCCACCATACCCCATGCCACCATACCCCATGCCACCATACCCCATGCCACCATACCCCATGCCACCATACCCCATGCCACCATACCCCATGCCACCATACCCCAGATTGAATGGGAGAGGTGGCGAGTTCCGCCTGCACCTCCTCGCCTCCTTCTGCTGCCCCTTCTGCCACACCCTGCTGTGCATCATGCTCAAGGGGTGGAGGGGGCGGATGGAGGAAGTGGGAGAGGCAATGGGGAGAGCGGGGGATGTGAGTAGAGCGATGTAATGTAAGGTGTAGCTATGCCGTGCATGATGGTTATGAGAAGATGGGGAGGGGAGGGGAAGGAGGTCGAAATGGGGGAAGAGAGGGGAAGCCCACCTTCCTTCCTTTCGCTCTGCCTGCCCCATGCCCCTCTGCTTAGCCCTGCTCGCCACCCCCTCTGCTGCGCCCGGAACCATGGCGTGAGGCACGGACGGAATGGCAGCCAGCCCCTTGGATGGCCGACTGGCAGGAATGACCCCTGGACAACAATGTGGGCACCTGCGGAGAGGGCGAATTTAAGGTGGGGAGCGAGGGGTCGAGGATGACTAGAGGGGACTTGAGGGTGGATGGAGGTGCGTATAGGTTGGGAGAGATGGGTGAAGGTGGGTAGTGGTGGGTAGGGTGTAAATGCTGGGTCCACTTTGCCTCAGCCCTTCCCCCCCCCCCCCCCCTCTCCTCCCCCCCCCCCGTTGTTCTCCCCAACAGCCCACAGTATGTGTTTCGAGGCGCACCTAAACGCGCTTCCAATACTCGCAGCGAGCAACAGCTCCTGCAGCATCGGTGGTGGCGACGACAGCTGTTGAGACGCCTGAAACAGGTGGAGAGCGAGGAACGTGGAGGAGTGTCACACATGGCATGGTCAGATCACATTCATCTCAATGCCAGTCGCAGGCCACTCGCACGGCTCTGGTTGTAGCAGCGACGGCGAAGGAGTTGCAGAGGCACGGACCCTCCAGCTCTTGGATGTAGGCCGCACCGCACTGCACTAGGGGGTGGTGGAGGAAGGACAGCGGAGGGGGGATGGACAGGAGAAAGACTTGAGAGGGCGAGGGAGAGTGAGAAACTCAGCAGCGCTTGCTTGATGTGGTGGTAGTGGGTTGGTTCAGGGGTGGAGCAGGTGGCGTAGAGCAGCAGGGGGGGAAGGGGGGGATGTGGGAGGAAGGAAGTTAGGCGGGGGGAGGAGTTTAAATGGCCTGAATACAGGCAGCACCACACCACATACAAATACATACGAATGAGAGTGCTAGCGGTGCCGCTGGCTGATGGTTGCACCACACCACGGCTTTAATAGCCCTACCCCACCCTTCCTAAGGAGAGTTAGGTACAATCAGACCTCTCCCCCCTTGGGTCTACCTTGGGTAAATAGGGTAACATCAATTTCATTGGAAAATAGCCAGAGCTACGACAACTGCAGCTGTGCAACCTGAATGATACAGGAAATACAAGCCATCAGCATGCTAGCTCAACCCCATCTACACACCATGATCAACAAAGAACCTCAGCACGACAAACAACTAACCATCAACCACCACCATTCGCATGACAAATATCACCGCCAGCACCATAAGCGAAGCCTTTTGGAGCCCCATTTGCAGGCAACAGCACACATGAGAAGGGCTTGAAGCAGGCTGCAGCGGTGTCAACCGTCGGGGCGCTCGATGAATGAGCTAGGCTGCAGCGGAGTCGAATATCTTGGCCACCTCGTTCCACATGGCCCAGGGCTTGTCAATCAGATCAACGGTGTAGTTGACGTGGTGCTGGCTGGGCAGGAACTCAAACTCACACGGAATCTCCGAATCCACATACGCGTTGGTGAACGCCATTCTAACGGCCCCTTGCACCTTGAGAGGCAGCGACGCCTGCTGTGGCTGCATGGCTGCAAGCTTGTCGAGCCCGTGTGCTACAGCGTAGAAGTCAGTCAGGGTGAACCCCAGGCACGACGAGCTCACATCAGGGGGCTGGTTGGGCAAACCACCCACGGTTACCATGGGCACTTTGTGGCGTTTCCCCAGGACGTGCGTGAGAACGGCGCAGGCGGAGAAGCAGTCTCCGTCCGACAGCACCAGGAAGGGGCGCTCGCCAAGCACCGGCTGCTCCTCCTTCACGGGCAGCTGCCCCCTGTGGTCAAACTTGAACAGCGCCGAGTAGGTCCCAGCCCGGCCGGCCGCTGTGAAGCGCAGCTGGCGGAACGGCGCGTAGTCAAAGGCGCTTGCGAGTTCCGTCCCGTTGAGATCGGAGTAAACTCCGAGGTAGTAGTGCGGCGCCGTGGTGTTGTCGACGGCCAGCACGCCGATCACGTTCTCGGTGTACTGCGTACCGATGACGAAGTCCATGGGCAGTGCGATCTGAGAGTCGGGCACCTTGGCTGCCCCCATGAGCAGGCGGATGGCCTTGTATGCTGCCTGCACGTAGCCTCCCCCGTTGCCTTGCCGCGCACGTCTATGATGATCTGCGATGCGCTGGATCTGGAGTGGGGGGGAGAGACGCGGGGGAGGACATGTGGGCACTTAGCTGGGTGGCTGCCACAACGGAGCCGCCACCGTTGCCGCGCACGTCTATGATGATGTGAGAGGCGCTGGACCTGCAGGGGGGGAGAGACGCGGGGGAAGTGTGGGGGGAGGCACAGGGGGATTACATGGGAAGTGCATGGGAGATTTACAGAAAGACATGGAAAAATGGGCACGAGAGAGCAAGAGGGGGCAAGCAGGGGCAAGGGGGGGGTTACGGCGGTGACGAGTTTAAGATGAATGGCATGTGAGGCATGAGGTCGACAATGCGTTGCTAGGCATACGAGCTGCACACTGCGACGAGACGAGGAGTGGACACGGGAGAAAGGCTGGAGAGAAGGTAGTCGAATGGATGGAAGGAGGGAGGTGGAGGGGAGGGGAGTACTGACGCTGCGGCGGTCTCAAGGGCCTTGGTGACCTCCTCCTCCATGTACCTCCCCACGGCTATCCTCTGCTCAAACGTCCTCTGCTCGAGGAGGGGAATGAACCCGTGCAGCCACACCACAGCCGTGTTGTCCCCCACTAGGTATACCTGCACGCAAGCACAACAGCACGCACACAAGCACACACACCCACACGCACACCCACACAAGCTGGATGCTCGTTATAGGTTAGCTTGTAAGTGCGGCGAGCGCCTCAAATCTGATCATACCTACCAGATTCGATCAGATAAAAAAACGGTTAGATCAGAACATGTCACATGGCAGTCAGTTGCTGCTAGACGCAAGCCCCTTGCAGGCACACACCAACCGGCACAGCCGGCAAGCCCCAAACGCCCTGCGCACCGGTGCCGGCAGCAGCAGCAGCTGATGGACTCGGTACGGCACAGTGAGTCTTCCAATACCCCATGGCATTCGCGAAGTCTGCAAGCTTAGCTATCCCAATCCACGGCACCTGTACGTCCTCTGTTGTCCCTCCATCCCTGCGAATTGCAGAGGGTGCGGCACCAGCAGGGTAGATGAAGGGACACATGAAGCATGAATGAGGTCGAGTGGGGTGAAACGCAGCGAGCAATCAGCAGGGAAGAAGCAGGGGAGATCGACAGGGAGAGTTCAATGAGCATCGGGAGCTGTGACTCACGGGGTAAGGAAGGACACCAGTAAGGTGTCGTTGTCGGGAGCAACGGTTCGCTTGGCGAAGTCGCCTGGCACCTGGTGGATCATGGGCCCGTTGGGCGAAGCGGCCGCTACATTCCGCGCAAAGGACCTCGTGAACCGCGCTGCGAGGTTGCGAGTGAAGCCCACTTCCTTGTCCGCCCAATGCCGGATGAAATCTTCCGCTTTGTCCCCGTTAATAGCCACCACCTGGCACGTCGCATTGAAGCACGGAGATATACTTGCTGAATAGATTTAAATAGGTTTGTGTAAAGCATGCAAGCAGGGTGCGGTTGATTGAACAAACCAGGTGCGCACATGCCATTGGCGGATCAGGTGGCCCAATCGACTCATTGCACGCATTGCATACCTGTCGGCCCTCATAAAGGGTGAAGTCAAAACCATGCAGAGCCTTCGCAACACTGTCCAACCCTTTGGGGACATCTGACGGCACGAGGGAATACATGAGAGTAGAAGTAAAGAATGAATAAGAAGGGAGTGATTACTAGAGAGGAACGGAGCTAAGGTTCTAAAAGCCAAGTGTAACCGTGGTACAAGGGTGCAGCTATGCTTCGCAACAGAGTCCAGCAGGGAAATACAATTGACCAGCTGTAACCGTTGCGAGTAGAACTCACATCGACGTGGCGCAACGCGAATGATCTGCTGCCCATTTTCGACGACGGCCACGAGCGGCAACGGCAAGTCGAAGGAGCCAGCGAAGCAACCCGGGTCGAACATGGTGTGCCCGTCGTTGAGCGCCAAGGTCGCCTGCCGCGCCGCCATGTGCGCGTCCACCAGCCGCGCGTACTTGCCCTTCTCGCCGTTCGCCACGACCTTTCTCAGCTCCGCGACGATATCGATGCTGCTGGGCAGGTTGGTCTGGTCGGGCGAGTCCAGCGCGATGTGCTTGTACACGTAGTGATTGTCAAACGCGTTCGCGATGGACAGCAGGTCCTGCACGTCGCACTCCTTCCTGCCACGTCATCCACCGCCATTGCCACGGTGGCACACAGTAGAATTGCAATGATCAGGCCATGCCAGCATATCAGGCAGCACATCCGAGCCCAGCGAGCGTGGGATGGAAGTTCGGATTCAGGGGCGCAGTATTAGCGTGGATAGGAAAGAATGAACGACAACTTCACAGAGCGTGAGTGGCAGCGGTACACTACCTGAACAGGAACGTGGAGTAGCACGCCCTGAAGAGAGAAGGGGCCGCGAATCCAAGCCCCAGTTTCTCAACGCCAGTGCGCTTTACTTCCGCCGCCAGCACAGCACACGGGTCGGGCGCGGCTCCGGACACGACGAAAGGGTCCACAGGGGCGTCGTTGCACGATACCGCAGGAGCCGCCGCCGCCGGCGCCGGCGCTGCGGGGGCTGACGTCGCGGCAGCCTCCGCCGAAGCTCCCTCGGACTGCGCGGCGGTGAACGCGACGGCGGGCGTCGTTTCCTGTGTGGGCACAACGGGGAAGAAATTGTCGTTCCAGAGCCAGTGGCGGGCGGACGCGACGGGCGCCTGCAGCAGCAATGCGAGGACGAGCACCGGGAGAAGCCCCGAAGTGGAGAACGTGGCGCGACGCGCTCCGATGACGGCCGATGCGGCCATTGCGCTGCGGTAGGTCTTGGTCGGAGTACAAGAGAGTCCCAGCGGCGGTAGTAGCACCGCACGCTACCTGCTGGTCGATCAAATCAGAAGAAAACTGCGGAAAGGAAAGTGTGCGGTGTGGATGATAAGCGGCGAGTAAAAATACTCCCAATGGTAGAGCAGGAAATGAGAATTTGGTTCAGAGCTTTGGCGAGAGTCGAGTTGACGACTGTTCACCGCCGCCGCGACGGCGTCCATGGTGTGCGACGAGCCCTCTCGTTCGCCCAGAAAACGAGTGTCCGAACCGAATCTGCCCTGGAGTGGAATAAGGACCTGCATAAACCTTTGATTGGACGGTTCGTCGCGCCCCAGCGACACAGCCCCACTTCCTTGCGAAGCGACCTCACTAGATGTCGCAAGGGCGAGGCGGCTTCGCAAGTCTTACTACAGACTGGAAGGGCGAGGTGACCCACCAAGTCTTCGGATATGCTGGTGGCGGGAGACGGCCAGGCTTCGCAAGTCTTGTGATACAGCTCAGAGCAGGATGAGCATTTCAAATATCGTTTTGGGGGGGATCTCTTGTAGGCGGAGAGTTTTATAGTTACTTCGCACTCATCAACTATCCCGGAATAAGTTCGACACGCTGTAATTTGTATAAAATGAATTCTCAGTCTGGAACCTAATTTTTCTTGGTGTCGACTATGTGTCTGCTGACACGATAGAAACGTGTCAAACGGCTTTCTGCTGTGTACCGACTTCGTATCAGCGGTACAGTAATTCTATTGCTGCGTTTCTGCGTGAGTTTACCCAAAATGTCTGAAAATCCTAAACCGGAAGGATGACCGTCGGATGCGAAAATCTCGTGAACGGACGCGATTACACCAAGGGACATGGGTAAATAGGAGAGGTTGGTCCAGGTTGGAAATTGTACCGTTGATGAGAACAATCTTGAACGGTGTAGATTCAACCTCAGAATATCCTAGTTGGAACAACCAAAGATAGGATCGACTGATCCATTTTTCTGCAGTTTTAGGTCGCACTAAAACTGATCTATATCTATAGACACCCGAACTTACAAAAGCACCACACCCTAAGAGCGTGTTACGTACCCCTCTTTTTGGGGGCCGGTCGGGTTGCCTTGAACGGTCTGGTTGGGTAGACCAGTAGGGTTACCCGATTACCCGATACTGTACAGTGTACAGTAATTGACGTGTGTACCAGACCACTCTCACACCTGGTCGAGGCGACCAGGTGGTCTATGCGACCATGTGGTCTCGCCCACAGCCAGCTGGTCGAGGCAACCAGCCACGAACGTACCAGCCTGCAGAGCAACCGGTTGTACAGTAGAAACTACGGGCAGGTGACACTAATTATTTCAAATGTGATTGGTGTAAATAAATTTAATTCTAGGTTTGGATCACGCACATTGGTGCAGTGACTGTTGGGTCTGCCCTAATTACTGTTTTCATGGTTGGGGTCCCTAAAATAGGCGGCTGGTACATTTGCAGGTTGCCTGCTGGTACCCAACCGCCCACTGGTCGACCCGACCAGTAGGTTGGGTCGACTTTTACAGGCAACCGGGCACTGCCACCAATTTAAGGGGTACGTAACACGCTCTAACGAGAGTGCGAGCGGGAGGTTGGGAATTGTCTTGTTGGGAGTTTCGTTCCCTCGTTGCACTCGTCCAGCGAAGGATCCACGTGAGATGATACGGAACTTGTGTCAGCCACGTCAGTCGTTCAACTGTCTGAAGAACACTCCATCAACACGGTTCGACTGATGCTGACGTTGACAGGGTACGTGCCACGTCGGCTAGAGCTAAACACGACACACCAAGTGCTCGCCAAACCAGCCACACCTCCCGAACCGCTTCGCCATGCCACGGCCGAGCTTGGACAAGGTTGCCTCCGCAAGCTTGGCCATTCCTTCCTCCTGCCCCTCAGGCTTGCCGAAATGGCAAGCCGCGAGTGTACTCGTTTGTGAGTAAGGAAGCATGTCATCCCCGCTGAGCGATTTTCCAGAAAACGAGTTCTTGCCATAAACGAGTTCTTGTTCGTGTTTTCGCGATTCAACATATTTCTCGTTACAGGTTGGCCCGAAGCGGCTGGATGTAGGTGTCGACAATCAGCAGGGAGGAGATTCGAGAGCAGCTTTCGATGGCTGGATTGGGAGGAGCAACAGCCTCTGGCGCAATTCGATCTGCGATAGCAGCGACAACCGGGGCGACTTTCGCTGCGACTGGCGGCGGCACCGTGCGACGGCCTGGCAGCCTTAGAATCGACCAAGGGGCGGCGGCGCGGCGGGTGCGAGGGACGCGAACAGGTCGCGCGGCGCTTTACTGTCACGGGGGCGACGGAAAGGGCGCGAAGATGGAGGTACGGGAGAATGGCGCAGTGAGGGAGAGAGCAGCGGGCGAAAGATACCAACGTTTCCAGTGGAGGATGGGCCAACGTCAACTGCTCCCACACAGCATCATCCTCGCGTGTTGTCCGGCGCGGCGTGCCATGCTCCTTCGGCCCGCTGCTCGCTGCACTTATTCATCTCTCCTCGCCTTGTCTTTACTCTCTGGTTGCTTGTCAGACCCGCAAGGATAGGTTGGCGCGTGAAGAGCGCTGCAGGGATGAGGGTATGGACAGGTACGCGAAACGCTCCTTCGCCTGCTGCTCTCCTGCTGCTCTCCTGCTACTCTCCTGCTGCTCTCCTGCTGCTCTCCTGCTGCTCTCCTGCTACCCTCCTGCTCGTCCTGTCCTGCTGTTGCCCTCCTGCTGCCTTGCTGTGCTATTCACGCACACGCTGCACTGTCAATCCCGCCAACCTTGTCCACCTTTTCTTACAGCAGCAGGTGCAGTAACGAGTCGGGGAGCGAGAGCGGCAGCGAGAGCGAGAAAGAGAGCCTGCAGGAAGGCAGGATGGCGCGGCGCACTCACATGGTCACGGATGGCAGCAACGGCAGCGGCGACAGCGGCGACAGTGCAAGTGCGAGCACCTGCGGGGATGACGCGATGAACAGGCAGAGCAGCATGAATGAGGCGGACAGCGGCCTGCTCGCCCTCCTCTCGCCCACCACGCCCACCACGGCCAGCCCCAGCCCAAGTCCGAGTAGTGTGTTTTGGGGAAGCAGCAGGGCGAGAGCGCCTGGGCTCACGGGTGAGGGGGACGGCAGTGGCGCGGTGGCGCAGGACAGACGAGAACCGCAAGCAGGTGCGGGTGCTGTGCCCATGGCAGCAGCATCGCTGGCACACGCTGCTGAGGCAGTGGCAGCTGGCCGTGCTGACGGGGATGGCAGTGGGGCAGGGGGTGGCGGCAAGGAGATATTTGTGGTGTCGGACGGCACGGCGTGGGCGGCAGACAGGGCGGTGGAGGCTGCAGTGGGACTGCTGGACTGCGGGCTAGCGGGCGGCCGATGCTCCGTGCTCACCAGACTCTACTCACATGTAGGGGGGGAGGGGGGGACTGGTGGAGGTGCTGTGAACAAGTTCTCTTCCTGTCACTTCTCACCCTCCGTTTACCCATTGCACACGCCACTGCAGGGGATAAACTCCCCCCTCTCTCACCCCACACCTCAGGTGACAGACGCGGCGTCTCTCCTCGCCATCATCCACACAGCAGCACACTCGCTGACGCCGCTCTGCGCCACACCGCCGCGCACGCAGCAGCGGCGCTGCACGTGGCAGCCGTGGACGTGTTGGGGCCGCTGCTGGCTGCCGTGGGGGAGCACATGGGCGTGCATGCAGGGGGGGCAGGGCAAGGCGCGGGGAGCAAGCATAATGGGGAGCTGGGCGAGGAGTACTTCCGGCGCATCGAGGCCGTAGAGTTCACCATCCGGTGCGTCTCGCCCACCCTGCTTGCTTGCTTGCTGCTCCCCTGTGCTTCCTCCTGTGTCTCTCGCTCTCTGCCATGTCCGCACCTGTTTTTCCACGTCTCACAGCAAATCATCAGCACCTCATGTGGAAGCAAGGAGCTGCTGTTGCAAGCCTTCACACTTTGCCACTCACTGCACGGGCCCTCCCTCTCTGTGTGTGCACCTCTTCTCCCCTCCGTGCATGGCGAGCAGGCAGGACGATGGAGCCCTGCCGCGGAACCTGGGGCAGGCGGACATCATTCTTGTGGGTGTGTCCCGCACTGGCAAGACCCCGCTCTCCATGCACCTCGCGCACATGGGCTATAAGGTCAGCCTAGGGCTAGGCCGCTCCTTTTATAACCCCTGCATCACCTCTGCCTCTCGCCCTGCTCTCCTTGCTGCCGGGCGTGCATGCCTAGTGCTGACAGCACCCATTCGAGCCATACAGCTGCTCTTCTGAGCCCCCCGTTGCTGCGCTGCCCCGACCATGGCCTGCTCACCCCACTGCGTGCCTACCCCACCCACCTGCAGGTGGCGAACATACCGCTGGTGCCGGGAGTGGCGCCACCAGCGGAGCTGCTGCAGGCGGACAAGGTGGACCAGCGCCGCATCTTCGCCCTCACCATCGCCGCTCCCACCCTCGCCTCCATCCGCCGCGCACGCTACCACCGCCTGGCCGTGCTGCAGCCACACAGGGGCGCAGGGAGGGGGAGGTCTGGATGGGGAGGGGGGGAGACGGGGGCGACGTATGGAGAGGGCAGGGGAGGGGGAGCGGGGTACTGCAGTGCGGAGCATGTGAGGGGCGAGCTGGACGCGGCTGAGGACCTCTTCGCCCTGCACCCCCTGTGGCCCGTCCTTGGTATGCTCGTGCTTCCCCCCATGCTGCTTGTAGGCCGCAACACTCCTGATAGACAGCAACTCTCCTGCTGCTGTTATCACTCGCCGCATTCTTCTCTCTGCGGATAGCTGCTGCTAGGGTTCGTTATGGATTGTGCAGTGCTGCACGTTGCAAGTGAAATGTGTGCTGTGTTGGCATTGGAACTGTCATGTATGTGCGTGGTGTATGCATGACTTGCGCCTGCTGTTGCTCTTGCTGTTGCTGGGTGCGTGTATGCATGGGTGGGCAGATGTGACAGGAAGGCCCATCGAGGAGACAGCGGCACTCATTCTCCGCATTTACCACGAGCGCATGAACCCTCAGGCCGCACCACATGTTACACGCTGCTACTGATGCCAGCACTCACAAATGGATGGACGCAGTGCCGGGGGTTGTTATGTACATACCTGTAAGTCATGTCTGCAGCGTGTTGCTCTTTTGTCGCTTTCGCTGGAGCTGTTGAAAGAAGCCGAGTGCACATTCAGAGAAGCAATGTTTCGGATGTGCACTGCAGGAGCAGGAGATTAACAAGCGGCAACGATAAAGGATGAGCAGCAGAGGGGTGGTTAGTGATGGAGTTGATGGCAGGAGCTGCAGAGGCATGGCAATGTGCTGGAGGGGTCCTACAGCAGCTCACGGCACAACATTTGGTGTGTTGTAGGCTTTCACAAGTCAGGCCTTTCACGCAAATTTCTTAGGGTACATTCTGGGCTCTGGTGATAACCTCTGGGCAAACCTTTGTTCAAGCGAAATCATGCCTATTTTTCACCAATTGTGCTAATTGTAAGGCTTTCTACAGTGTTGACCAGAGGTTCCAGAGGTTAGACCAGAGCCTGGAATGTACCCTTAGATTTCAGTGTGTTTTTATCTATTGGCCTTAAATCTCAAGAATGAGTATTTTCAGGCTCTATAATCTTAGTGATATTGTACCCTTTCCCCCGCATGTACCATCCACAAAGTACAGAAAGAACATACAGAATGTTATAAGTACTTGTCCTACAATCGAAACGTATTCATACACCTGCACATAGCGAACGCGTCAGAAGTTCACAAAGTGGGAATTGATTTTCGCCATTCAATGTTACCAATTGCTGGCCTCATTACCGCCAGGCTCAAAAGGTAGTTTAGGGCAAGTTTCCCGAGTCGCCAGAGTCGAAAGTCTGCGACGAGTAACTCCGTCGTAAGTATCGGAGGAGTAACCTTGCGGAGGCCTACATTCTTCATGCCCTTCGAGCCCGGCGCTTTTTGCGATGGATGCGGGAGAAGGAACGCAGACTGCGGCAACAGATTCGAGTGATGTTATTGAAGGCAGCGAAACAGCAGCAGGATCGGTGGGTCTAACTCAGGAAGCGGGATCAGCAGCAGAATCGGCGGGTCTAACTCAGGAAGGCTCATCTGCGGGATCAGCAGCAGCGGCGGAGGGGAAGCAGCGAGCTGTAGGAACGGTCCCAACCGCTCTTTCCAACCAGCCGCTCCCCCCACGCTTCCCGCCTCAGGCGCCGTCCGTTATGGAAGAGGTAATCCGCGCATGGGGTGCCGTGAGAACCGCCGCAGCAGGCGCCGCAGCTGCCGCTACAAGCGCGGTCATCCGCGCTCCCGCCACTGCTGCCGCTGCTCCTCCGCGGACCCCGCCTTCCGCCGCGCCTTCGCTGTCCGCCATGGCGCCAGCCGACGTGCCTCCCGCGCTGATCGCGGTGATTGAAAAGGCTCTGCAGGAGGTGGCGAGGGGGGCGAAAGGGGGAGACGGGAGGGACGGAGGGATGGAGAGGCAGAGGGGGGGAAAAGGGGTGTTGCAGCTGCAGCGACTGGTGGCTGGGATGTGCCGATTGGAGGGGATTCGCGCGGTGGGAGGGGGAGACGGAGAGGCGCAGAGTGCAGGGGGGAAGGACGAGGCGGGGACAAACGAGAATGAGGGAGTGGGGAAGGGAGCGGACGGAGGGAGTGACGCAGGTGCGGTTGGGGCGGAGGAACGAGACGCGGCAGCTGCGCTGGTGGTGGAAACGGTACTGGCAATCATGGGGTGCAGGTACGAGGGGGACGAGGTGGCGGAGGAGGAAGAGGGCAGTGGTGACAACAGGGGCGCGGAGCGGCGGAGGAATGGCAAGGCGCCTGGGCCCGGGCCTGTGATCATGATGTCTGCTGAGGCCGCTGTGCTGGCCGCCGCGCTGCTGCCGTGGCTGCCATGCCGTGACTGCCGCCCGCCTGGGGTCACGGGCAGTGGAGCAGCGAGTGATGGCGCAGCGAGGGAGGCAGCAGAGAGTAGAGATGGCGAGGAGAGTGTCAAGACACAGGCACGCGCACCCGCTGACGCAGCGGCAGGGGCAGCTGGGTTGGGAACAGGTGCAGGATCAGCGGCAGGGGCAGTGGTGGGGAGTGGGAGGTCCCCTCGCACGCGCGTGGCACGGGTGCTGGCCACGGCGCTCTCCTCCTGCACGCGCAACCGTGCCATGTGCGCTGCTGCCCGCCTCACCTCCTCCCTCCTCGCCTCCCTCCGCATCATCCTCCTGGGCGGCGTGCGGGCCAATGGCTCGCTGCCACCTGGCGCTGCCCTGCTGGATGAAGCACCGCTGCCGGTGGAGCCGATTGTGAGCAGCGCAGGGGAGGGTGCGGATGCGCGTGAGGGTGCGGGTGAGGGTGAGGGTGGTGCAGCGCTGTATGGGGCAGCTGAGGCTGCGTGGGATGCTGGGCCTGTGCTGGCAGCGCTGCAGTCGCTGGCGTCCCACTCCGTGTCCGTGGGCGAGGTGCGCCAGTGGATGGGGTCCGTTGTCGCTCTCTCCGCCTCCCCCCCCCCTGCCACCACCCCTCCTGCCTCCATCGCATCAACAGCAACAGGGGCAGCCGGGATGGCAGGGGGAGGAGGAGGCGGAGAGAAGGGGGTAAGAGGCAGCGCAGGGGGAGGGGAGTGGGTGAGGCGGGAGAAGGCGGGGGCGCTGCTGGATGTGCTGCAGGGGGCGATGGAAGGGGAGGAGGTGAGAGCACCCGCATACACGTTCGAGCTGGACGGCGAGAGCTCAGGGCTGCTGGGGCCTGGCGACAGCAAGTGGCCGTTCGGCAACGGGTATGCGTTTGCCACGTGGATCTACGTGGAGTCGTTTTACGACACCGAGAGCTCCGCTGTCGGCGCCGCCGCCATGGCCGCCGCCATTGCTGCCGCCGCCACCGCCAAGGTCGGCCGCACCTCCGCGGTGTCCGCTGCGGCAGCTGCGAGCGCGCTGGCAGGGGAAGGGCTGATGCACATGCCGCGGCTGTACAGCTTCCTGACGGCGGAGAGTGAGGGCGTGGAGGCGTACTTCCACCGCGAGTACCTCATCGTCGAGTCCTCCACGCACCGCGGCTCCAAGAGCACCTTCCACTTCTCGCACGCCTTCCAGGCGCAGCGCTGGTACTTCATAGGTCTCGAGCATGTGTTCAAGCCGTCGCTGCTGGGCAAGGCGGAGTGCCACATGCGCCTGTACGTCGACGGCCGGCTCGTCGAGTCCCTGCCGCTCGACCTGCCGCGCATCTCGCGACCTCTCGGCTTCCTGTGCATCGGCACCAACCCGCCCGCCGCCATGGCGGGGCTGCAGCGCCGCCGCAAGCAGTGCCCGCTGTTTGCCGAGCTGGGCCCCGTCTACATTTTCAAAGAGCCCATCGGCGCTGAGCGCATGATGCGCCTTGCCGCGCGCGGCGGGGACCACCTGCCGTGCTTTGGCGCGGGCGCGGGCGTGCCGGCGCTGCTCAGCAGCGACCAGCTCATGCTGGCGGCCGATGACGCATACAGCCTGGACTCGGAGCTCGCCCCCCGCCTGCACCTGCTGTACCACCCGCGCCTGCTGCTCGGCCGCTTCTGCCCGGACGCCTCCCCTGCCAGTGCAGCCGGTGTGCACAGGCGGCCAGCGGAAGTGCTGGGGCACGTGCATGTGGCAGCGAGGCACAGGGTGCCGGAGGCCATCTGGCAGGCGGGGCAGGGGGGCCCGCTGGCGCTGCTGACGCTCGCCGTTCACGCTGTCCACCCGGACTCGTTCCTGCCCTTGCCGCTGGCTCTGTGTGCGGATCCGCCTGCTGCCGTGGCTGCAGCGCGGCTGCTGCCGCGCGTGCTGGGGGTGGTGGGGCGGGCCATGCGGCATGGCATGAACAGGGAGGAGATCAAGGGAGGGGCTCCTGCCATGCTCGCGCTCATGGTGGCGTATGGGCTCTCTACGTGCGCCCAGGGGGGGGTGGCGGGTGGTGCTGGAGGGGGGGGGGGGTGAGAGTGCGGACAAGGGGCGGAGTGAGCAGCACGGTGCAGCACTGTGTTCCCTGGATGAGCCTGAGCCTGAGCGTGAGCCGCCGTACGACAAGCAGCTGGCAGCGGCAACTGCAGCACTGGCCATGGCACCACGCTTTGGCGACCCGTTAAAGCCGCACCTCTTCCTGCACCTGCTGCTGCACCTGCCGCTGTGGGCGGCGTGCCCCCTGCCCGTGCAGCAGCAGGTGCTGACCTCGCTGGCCGCCGTGGCAGTGCGCGAGCAGCACACGCTGAGAGCAGCGGGCGCGCTGCCCGTGCTGCTGGATGGGTGCCGGCGCTGCTACTGGGTGCACCTCGAAGCCATCTCCCTGCCCCTCGGCCCCTCCTCCTCCCGCTCCGCCACTCCTGCTGCAATCAAAAGCCCTGGGGCAGAAGAGGCTGGTGGGGGAGCGGAGGTGGGAGGGGAGAGGAGAGAGCAGGAGGAGCGGGAGATGGTTTTGCGGCAGCATGCGCGGATGGGCGAGGTGAATGCGCTGGTGGACGCGGTGATGGGCGTGTTGGAGCTGCTGCTGGCCACCAGCAATGCCACCGCCATGGGGGCCGACATGCGCACTCTCGTTGCCTTCCTGCTCGACTGCCCTCACCCCAACCAGGTCACACCTCATCTCCCTCAACCCTCAACCTCAAATTGTAAGCCTACTCTTGCGATGCCATCTCCTGTGTCCATGTGCTGTCTGTCACAATGCCCTCCCGTTCACTCTGTGTGCGAGCCATCATGCCTGAATCACTTACCGCCTCGTGCCCTCTTCCTCTTTCTTCTTAACCGTTTCTGCCCCTACTTCCTCTCCCCCTGGTGCGCTCTGGCAGGTGGTGCGAGTGCTGCTGCTGGTGTACCGCCTCTTATCGCACCCCAACGCCGCGCGAGCAGCCGGCTTCTCCGTGCAGTTTTTGGCAGCAGGCGGCGCGCACATGCTGCTCGCGCTGCTGCTCAGGGAGAGCCACTGGGGCGACGCTTGCCCCCTGCTCTTCCCCCCTGTGCCTTGCAAGGCCGAGGCGGGCCGTGTGAAGGAGGTGGTGGGGGAGGAGAAGGCCGATGGTGGGGTGACGGTTGGAGGAGTGAAGGGTAAGGATGGAGGTGTGGCGAAGGAGGGGACCATCAGTGTGCAGGGCCGTGCAGGGACCACGGGTCAACGTGCTCATGGCGCTGCTGTGGACGCTAGAGATTCCTCAGACAAGGAAGCTGCTCGATCAGCCTCAGAAGCAGCAGGCGTAGCAGCAGCCGCATCAACCGAAGCAGAAGCAGCAGATGAAAGCGGGTCCGGGGGAAAAGGGCCGAGTGCAGAGCTGAAGGTGGAAGTGCCAGCAGGCAGCAGCAACAGCACTACTTCCCACGCGCTCACCCCCAAAACACCCACCCCCAACCCCGCCACCCCCGCCGCCGCCACCCCATCCTCCTGGCAAGTCTTGTTCGACCCCTTTGGCTCCCGAGCCCACCGCCCCGAGGCAGAAGCGAATGCAGCGGATGGGCAGAAAGCAGCTGGTGGCAGCAGCGGCGAGGAGGCGGCGAAGGAGACACGAGCAGGGGGGACGGACGGGGAGGCAGCAGGGGAGGCGAAGGAGGAGAGGGAGGAGCGGATCCCTGAGCCTCGAACGGGGCTGGACGTGGCTGGGGAGATCATGAGGAGGCTTCAGCAGCGAGGGCTGTTCCAAGCGTCTCCCATGAGCATTCTCGCCCCGGGACCCGCGGGGAACAGCGTCACAGTGGCACCCTCTGTGCCCATCCGGCAGCCGTTGGCGAGCAGCAGAGCAGCAGGCGCCAAGGGCTCTCACGGTCTGTCAGGGGACGTCATGGTGGCCGCAGCCGCGCTCTCCCTCTCTGCCACCGGCCGCCGCAGTGGGCGCCGCCTCGCCTCCGCCTCTTACGGCGAGCAGTCCCTGCTCGCACCGAAATCGCACGACTTCCCCCTCACGGACGGCCCAGATGGGATCTTCATCGCAGTGGTGTCGATCCTAGGGCTGTTAGCGGAGAGGGGGTATATTCGGCTGAGCAGCCCGGCGGTGCTGGGGCTGGTGCCGGGGGGGGCGGGCGCAGGGCTGGGGTCGGTGGTGGCGGATAGAGGCGTGGGGGAGCGCAATAGCAACAACGTGGGGGCGTGGGCGGTGTACGGCGCGCAGAGGGCGCTGCAGCGCGCGCCTGACAGGCTGCTCACGCCTGCTGTGTACCATGCCATCATGACTGCCGTGCTGCGCTCCGAGGTCAGTCACACGCACGTGACGTGCGGTGTAAGGTGGGTGGGTGGGTGGGTGGTAACTGTTCCCCCAAGAGGGTGCTCACGCCTGCTGTGTACCGTGTGCTCTTCGACTGCTGCGCTGCGAGCAGAGTGAGGATGTGTGGTGTGGTGACTGACTGGCGAGGCGAGCTGAGGGATGCCACGAGACGCAAGGGAAGAAAAGAATGGAACGAGAGCATGTCCTTAATCTCCATCACAATCGCCTGCTATCATTCTCTCTCCCCCCCATTAGTTATCTCCCCTCTTGTGTTCCGCCCTCCATCCTCCCGTGCATTTCCCACTGCATGCATTCGCCCCCTCCTGTTTCCCTGCAGTCATGCACATCAGCGCAAGCAGCACCTGCCAGCAGTGGCGCCAATGTCGCTGATGCCAGCACCACCAACGCCAGTGCGAGCGAGGCGGGCAGTGAGGCAGCAGCAGCAGGGCGGAGGGTGCTGGCAGGCGACACGGTGTTGGCGGAGTCGCAGCTGCAGCTGCTGCTGGCGCCGCTCAGAGCGCTGCCCTCCGCTGCTCCGCGCACCCAACTCGCCATTCTGCAGGCAACCCTTCTCCTCTCCCCTTGCCCTCCCATGCTCTCCCCTTGCCCTCCCATGCTCTCTCCATCCACTCGACATTCTCTTTCTTTTCCTTACTCCAATGACATCTGCTCCCTCTGCCTGCCCATACTGCTCCTCACATCAGTTGTTGCTGCTATGCCTCTGCTTTTGAATCGCCTCAATAGTTCCTCCCCTCGATGTTGTTACGACGCTCACCGCACCCCCTCCAACTATGCTCGCCACACCCCCTCCACCTACGCTCACCCCACCCAACTATGCTCACTGCACCGCACCCCAACCCACCCACAGGACGTGTTGCTGCTGGTGTCGCTGAGTGGCAGCAACCGCTGGCAGCTGTCGTGCCTGCCAGAGTGGCCCGAGTGGTTGCTCGAGGTGCTGCTAGACAACCTCGAGGTGAGATGCTGCTAGACAACCTCGAGGTGAGATGCTGCTAGACAACCTCGAGGTGAGATGCTGCTAGACAACCTCGAGGTGAGATGCTGCTAGACAACCTCGAGGTGAGATGCTGCTAGACAACCTCGAGGTGAGATGCTGCTAGACAACCTCGAGGTGAGATGCTGCTAGACAACCTCGAGGTGAGATGCTGCTAGACAACCTCGAGGTGAGATGCTGCTAGACAACCTCGAGGTGAGATGCTGCTAGACAACCTCGAGGTGAGATGCTGCTAGACAACCTCGAGGTGAGATGCTGCTAGACAACCTCGAGGTGAGATGCTGCTAGACAACCTCGAGGTGAGATGCTGCTAGACAACCTCGAGGTGAGATGCTGCTAGACAACCTCGAGGTGAGATGCTGCTAGACAACCTCGAGGTGAGATGCTGCTAGACAACCTCGAGGTGAGATGCTGCTAGACAACCTCGAGGTGAGATGCTGCTAGACAACCTCGAGGTGAGATGCTGCTAGACAACCTCGAGGTGAGCGGGTCAGGTCCACGTGAGCTCACATCTAGAGCTTGCACATGTGGATATGCTACTCCTGCTCAGCTGCACATGTGGATATGCTACTCCTGCTCAGCTGCACATGTGGATATGCTACTCCTGCTCAGCTGCACATGTGGATATGCCACTCCTGCGCAGCTGCACATGTGGATATGCCACTCCTGCACAGCTGCACCGTCCTTCCCTTGCATTCCCTTCTTTCCTGCCTCCCATTTTCCCTTTTCCCTCATCTACTTGTCGTTCTCACTGCACTGCACCTTCTCACCTGTGCTGTTCATCTGCGCTGCAGCGACTGCCGGCTGGTGCATGCTCCATCAGCAGCACCCAAGCTGGGGCGCAACACGCGGCAGGGGAAGGCAAAGAGGCACCCACGGCTGCGGCCGCTGCAAGTGGCAAGACAGGGGGAGGAGAGGGCGGAGAGGGGCGGGTGGAGGAGGCAGGTGCAGGTGGCGATGGTGAGGGCAGTGGCGGGGCGGTTGGCGGCAGTGGTGGTAGCAGCGGAGGGGGGCTGACAGAGGAGCAGCAGGAGCGCGTGGATGTGAATGAGATGATATTCGCTTTCCTGGGCACTGTGCTCGAACACTGCATGACCTTCAAAGACGGCTGGAAGGTGAGCCGCATCGAGTGTGCAATATGTGAAGACACTGCTGCCCACCTGCTGCCTCCCCTGGCTGGCACCTGGACGTCACTAGAATGCCATTCTGCTCGCTCGCCCTTACCTTCTCACTCTCGTTCTCAGGCTCCCCCTCTTCCTCATTGCCACGGAACCATTCTCTAACCTCTCTGTCCGCACTCCCGTTTTCCCATCATGCCTCCATGCCATCATGCCACCATGCCACCATGCCTGCCATCATGCCATCACCATGCCATCGTGCCACCATGCCATCATGCCATCATGCCACCATGCCATCATGCCTGCCATCATGCCATCACCATGCCATCATGCCATCACCATGCCATCATGCCATCACCATGCCATCGTGCCACCATGCCATCATGCCATGATGGCATGAGCAGGAGCTAGAGGCCACATTCCATTGTCTTGAGTGGATGGCTCTCATTGGTGGATCCAGCATCGGCCCCGAGCGAGTCAAGTGAGTCAACTCAGCGAGTCAATCCGCTGGTCTTCACCTACTCAACTCCTTAGCCCTGCCCATCAACTGAGCAACTCATGGGACCGAGAGAGTTAAAGGAAGCTATCGTTTAATCATCTCCCGCCACCCAGTAGCTGCTTCACCTGCTCAGCTGCACTGCTTCAGTTTTTTTGACAGGCGCAAGTCCTTTGCTGAGGCGCCTCCAACATATAATGCTTCCCACATCAATTTCGCCCCACTCTGCCGGCGGGTGCACATGCGTGCGTGCGTGCGTGCGTGCGTGTGTGTGTGCCATGTCAGGCGTGAGGAGGGCATGGCAACGGTGAAGCGGCGCCTGCTGCATGGCGTCATGGACTTCACTGCTGCGCAGCTGTGCCTGCAGGTCAGAATCACATCTCACTCTATTCTTCCCCATCTCTTCCTCCTTTCCCAGCGCTGTAATCCCTCGTTCTCTTCTCCCTCTCACTTAGCCCCTGCTTCATCACCCACCCCTTGTCTCGCCCACCCACACACCACGGCCAAGCAGGCTCAAGTGGAGGCGACAGCAGCAGCGGCAGCGGCGGCAGCAGCAGAGGCAGCAGCGCTGGCGTCCCCTCTCCCCATAGACATCCCCATCTCGCCCACGCCCACCTCCCCACACCCGCGCGCCCCCGACCCCTTGCTCACGTCCCCCACATCTGCGTGGCTGCTGGAGAACGCGGTGGCGCTGCTGATGCTGCTGGAGGACTTCCTGCGCTTCCACGCTGCGGCGCGCTCGCCCCTCGCCCTGCCCACCGTCGCCTTCGACGCCGACGACACCCTCCCCGGCTCCCGCCCTGCCGCCTGGCAGGAGGTCCCTGACCCTGACTCCCCCACAGGAGCCGGAGCGTCTGCGGGAGGTGGTGCGGGAGGGGGGTCTGTGCTGCCAGGCATGACGGCAACAGCAGCAGCGGCGGCCGCAGCGGGGTTGATGCCGCTGGCGGCGCAGCTGTCCAACCCGTTGCTCTCCGCCGGCTTGTCCTCGCGGCGCCGCAGCCCCACGGATCTGCTGACTCTCGAGATGCTCGCGCTCATGGCGGACAATGCGGGGCAGCTGACGGCCCCCATGCTGGAGCGCATCACCGCTTCCACCAGTGCCGAGCCCTTTGACGCCGTGCGCTGCGCCCTGCCCGCTTACGGGTCTATTTCGCACGAGTTACCCCTCAGTTGGGGGCACCGCAGCAAGCTGTGGTATGGCGTGGCGGTGCCGGCCGAGGGGAAGGGCGCACCGGGGTGGGGCGGCGGGCGGGTGGCGTGGGCGGCAGCAGTGGAGATTGACCCGGTGACGGGGCGGTGGCTGGACCTGCCTCTCGTGGTGAAGGCTGTTGCCATGCTGCGATCCATGCTGCTGGAGGAAGGGGAGGTGGGGCAGGGGGGTGAGAAGCAGGGGGAGAAGGGTGGTGCAGGGACGGCGGAAGGGGTGTTGGCGGTGGTGGGGGGGATAGCGAACATGTTGGGAGGGGGGAGTGCGGGGGGCGTGTTGAACCGCGCGAGTCAGTTGCTGCTGGAGGACGATCAGACGCTGCTCACTGTGATCCGCCTCGTGGGCGTGGCTGCCAGGGAGCTCAGTCACGTGGTGGATGAGGAGCAGGAGGGGGAGAGGGCAGCACCACGTGGCAAGGAGGGGGGAGTGGATGGGGCGGGCGGGGGAGTGGTGGCGTGGGAGCGAGGGGAGGTGGAGGGCATCTCTCCTGGCGTGCTCAGCTCCCTGCTCTGGCGGTACGTGCAGTGCAGTGCAGGGCAGCCATGACATGCGCATGCTCATCTCTTCACCGTTGCTATGTGCTGTGCACTCCCACCTCACCATGCTGTCTCCCGTCCCGCCCACCAAACTGCACTCTCACACTTCCCTCCTCTGCTCTTCTCGCCCCTACCTGCGTCCTGCAGTGCGGTGCTGCCGCTGCTCACAACAGCGTCACTTGACGCGCGCAAGCAGTGCGCCCTCGCAGCATCTGCCGTCCTGCACACAGAGGTCAGTCGCACGCAGAGGTCAGTCGCACAGAGGTCAGTGGCACACAGAGGTCAGTCGCACGTTCTGAACTTGTCCCTCATCTCGTGCTGCTCTGCTCGCTCTCCTGGCCGGCACCCCACTTGTCTCTACTCTTGCTGCAACCATACCATTTCACTGTTTGCGCATCCCAACCCACCTGCAATCCCCCAGACCCCCCTTCTCCTTCTCTCGCCTCTATCCCCCTCCCCTCCACCCACCCTGCACCCATCAGGCGATCCACGCCATAGCGCCATCACGCGCCATACTGCGTCCGTCGCTGATCGCAGTGGTGCAGCCGCCGCTGGCAGCGCTGCTGCGCAAGTGGCGCTCCGCCTTCGCCTTCATCCCGCACCTCACAGACTTCGAGGGCCACAACCCCTTCCTCAGGGACGATGACCGCGCTCTTGCCACCGACGCCGCAGCTGACGAGGTGGGTGCTGCTCCTCCCCTTCTCAGCTTGTGCGTGTTTCTGAGCATTCCTTGAATCCTTCCACCTCACAGACTTTGAGCGCCACAACCCCTTTTTGAGGGATGATGACCGCGCTTTTTCTACTGACGCTGCACCCCATGAGGTGGGTGGTAATCCTCACCTTATCAGGTTCTTTACGTTTTTGGTAAATGATAAAGGTTGAGGGTTCTTGTAACCGAGCAGCAGCAGACGAGGTGAGTGCCTCACACCTTTCCAGGGTCGCACACTGCCAGCTCAGCACTGCCTATCCCCTTCATTCCTTCTTTCCTAACCTTTGCCTATCCCCTTCATTCCTTCTTTCCTAACCTTTGCCTATCCCCTTCATTCCTTCTTTCCTAACCTTTGCCTATCCCCTTCATTCCTTCTTTCCTAACCTTTGCCTATCCCCTTCATTCCTTCTTTCCTAACCTTTGCCTATCCCCTTCATTCCTTCTTTCCTAACCTTTGCCTATCCCCTTCATTCCTTCTTTCCTAACCTTTGCCTATCCCCTTCATTCCTTCTTTCCTAACCTTTGCCTATCCCCTTTCCCATCCAAGTCCCAACCGACGCAATGGTCTCCCTTGCACCTCGTCCAACCCCCCAGGCATCACTGGCGCTGCTGCAAGTCATCTGGGTGGCAGCCCTGGCGTCCCCCCCTGCCTCCGCGGCCCTGGCAGCCATGGCTGCTGCTGCTGGCCCCGGATCTGCTGCCCCCCGCACCACCCTCACCTCCTCCTCCTCCGCCTCCTCCCTCTCCTCCCTCTCCTCTGCTCCTGTCACGCGCACATCTACCTACCCCAGCGCCACCCCACCCACAGGCAGCACCGTCCTTGCTGCCTCTGCCACTCACGCACCTGGGACTGGCAGTGGCACTTCTGGTGCTGTCGCCCGCACTAGCAGCCATCACGTGCCACTCGGCCAGCCTGGCGCCAGCTCAGCAGTCAGCCGGCGCATGTCTCAGCGCAGCGGCGTGACTAAGGCGGGGGGAGGGAGGCAGGAGGGGGAGCGGGAGGGGGCGACATCGTCCCAGCGGCGCATGAACGGGGACAAGGACCGCGCGCAGCGGTGGAGCCTGGGGGAGGCCATGGAGAAGGCGTGGGACTGCTGCTACGGCATCCCTGTCTCTGCTGCCACTCGCACCACTGCTGCTGGTGCTGGTGCTGGTGGTGTTGGGGGGGTGGAAGGGAGGGAGGGAGGGGCAGCAGCGGCTGGGTCAGGGGAAAGGGTGAATGGCAGTGGCACGGTGCTGGGTCCCACGCTGGGCGGGCTGCAGCAGCACCTCGATGGCTTGCGCGGGCTCATCCGCGCTCAGGTGGGTGCTCGTCTCGTCCCTACCCTACCCTCGTACAAGTCATGCATCAACACTTTCTCACCGGCACCTCAAAGTTTGTATGCACAAGGACAAGGGGAGAGGGAAGGCTCATGTGGGAGAGATGATGATTGTGTGTGCTGTATTCGCCATTTTCTCCCTGCAGCTCTTCCCTTCACCTCTCCCTGGTGCACTGGTCTCGTCACACAGGGTGACGTGGGATACGCAAGGTAGGACACACAGGAGCACCGGCACTGCACACACGCCTTGGTCTCTTCCCTTGTCCCATCCCTCGCCTCCCATGCGTGCAGAGGCTGCGGAGGGTGAAGATAGAGACGCAGATGGCACGCGCACACACAGCTGGCATGCGCATGTGGCGCTCGCTCATTTGCCAGCTGCTCGAGTCAGGGCTGCTCGTGGGGCTCCCCGGCAGCTACCACGCGCTGACGCAGCGCCGGGTGAGACAGGGGAGAGGGGTGGGGCAGTGGCAAACACGTAGCACAGTGGGGCAGTGGCAAACACGCATCACAGTGGGGCAGTGGCAAACACGCACCACAGTGGGGCAGTGGCAAACACGCATCACAGTGGGGCAGTGGCAAACACGCATCACAGTGGGGCAGTGGCAAACACGCATCACAGTGGGGCAGTGGCAAACACGCATCACAGTGGGGCAGTGGCAAACACGCATCACAGTGGGGCAGTCGCAAACACGCACCACAGTGGGGCAGTCGCAAACACGCACCACAGTGGGGCAGTCGCAAACACGCATCACAGTGGGGCAGTGGCCAACACGCATCACAGTGGGGCAGTGGCAAACACGCACCACAGTGGGGCAGTGGCAAACACGCATCACAGTGGGGCAGTGGCAAACACGTAGCACAGTGGGGCAGTGGCAAACACGCATCACAGTGGGGCAGTGGCAAACACGCACCACAGTGGGGCAGTGGCAAACACGCACCACAGTGGGGCAGTGGCAAACACGCAGCACAGTGGGGCAGTGGCAAACACGCAGCACAGTGGGGCAGTGGCAAACACGCATCACAGTGGGGCAGTGGCAAACACGCATCACAGTGGGGCAGTGGCAAACACGCATCACAGTGGGGCAGTGGCAAACACGCATCACAGTGGTGCAGTGGCAAACACGCATCACAGTGGGGCAGTGGCAAACACGCTGCACAGTGGGGCAGTCGCAAACACGCACCACAGTGGTGCAGTGGCAAACACGCATCACAGTGGGGCAGTGGCAAACACGCATCACAGTGGGGCAGTGGCAAACACGCATCACAGTGGGGCAGTGGCAAACACGCATCACAGTGGGGCAGTGGCAAACACGCATCACAGTGGGGCAGTGGCAAACACGCATCACAGTGGTGCAGTGGCAAACACGCATCACAGTGGGGCAGTGGCAAACACGCATCACAGTGGGGCAGTGGCAAACACGCATCACAGTGGTGCAGTGGCAAACACGCATCACAGTGGGGCAGTGGCAAACACGCATCACAGTGGGGCAGTGGCAAACACGCACCACAGTGGGGCAGTGGCAAACACGCATCACAGTGGGGCAGTGGCAAACACGCATCACAGTGGTGCAGTGGCAAACACGCATCACAGTGGTGCAGTAGCAAACACGCATCACAGTGGTGCAGTAGCAAACACGCATCACAGTGGGGCAGTGGCAAACACGCATCACAGTGGGGCAGTGGCAAACACGCATCACAGTGGTGCAGTGGCAAACACGCATCACAGTGGGGCAGTGGCAAACACGCATCACAGTGGGGCAGTGGCAAACACGCAGTGGCAAACACGCACCACAGTGGGGCAGTCGCAAACACGCACCACAGTGGGGCAGTCGCAAACACGCATCACAGTGGGGCAGTGGCAAACACGCATCACAGTGGGGCAGTTGCAAACACGCACCACAGTGGCGCAGTGGCAAACACGCACCACAGTGGGGCAGTGGCAAACACGCATCACAGTGGGGCAGTGGCAAACACGCATCACAGTGGTGCAGTGGCAAACACGCATCACAGTGGGGCAGTGGCAAACACGCATCACAGTGGGGCAGTGGCAAACACGCATCACAGTGGGGCAGTGGCAAACATGCATCACAGTGGGGCAGTGGCAAACACGCATCACAGTGGTGCAGTGGCAAACACGCATCACAGTGGGGCAGTGGCAAACACGCATCACAGTGGGGCAGTGGCAAACACGCATCACAGTGGTGCAGTGGCAAACACGCATCACAGTGGGGCAGTGGCAAACACGCATCACAGTGGGGCAGTGGCAAACACGCAGTGGCAAACACGCATCACAGTGGGGCAGTGGCAAACACGCATCACAGTGGTGCAGTGGCAAACACGCATCACAGTGGGGCAGTGGCAAACACGCATCACAGTGGGGCAGTGGCAAACACGCATCACAGTGGTGCAGTGGCAAACACGCATCACAGTGGGGCAGTGGCAAACACGCATCACAGTGGGGCAGTGGCAAACACGCACCACAGTGGGGCAGTGGCAAACACGCATCACAGTGGGGCAGTGGCAAACACGCATCACAGTGGGGCAGTGGCAAACACGCATCACAGTGGTGCAGTGGCAAACACGCATCACAGTGGTGCAGTAGCAAACACGCATCACAGTGGTGCAGTAGCAAACACGCATCACAGTGGGGCAGTGGCAAACACGCATCACAGTGGGGCAGTGGCAAACACGCATCACAGTGGTGCAGTGGCAAACACGCATCACAGTGGGGCAGTGGCAAACACGCATCACAGTGGGGCAGTGGCAAACACGCAGTGGCAAACACGCACCACAGTGGGGCAGTCGCAAACACGCACCACAGTGGGGCAGTCGCAAACACGCATCACAGTGGGGCAGTGGCAAACACGCATCACAGTGGGGCAGTTGCAAACACGCACCACAGTGGCGCAGTGGCAAACACGCACCACAGTGGGGCAGTGGCAAACACGCATCACAGTGGGGCAGTGGCAAACACGCATCACAGTGGTGCAGTGGCAAACACGCATCACAGTGGGGCAGTGGCAAACACGCATCACAGTGGGGCAGTGGCAAACACGCATCACAGTGGGGCAGTGGCAAACATGCATCACAGTGGGGCAGTGGCAAACACGCATCACAGTGGTGCAGTGGCAAACACGCATCACAGTGGGGCAGTGGCAAACACGCATCACAGTGGGGCAGTGGCAAACACGCATCACAGTGGTGCAGTGGCAAACACGCATCACAGTGGGGCAGTGGCAAACACGCATCACAGTGGGGCAGTGGCAAACACGCATCACAGTGGGGCAGTGGCAAACACGCATCACAGTGGGGCAGTGGCAAACACGCATCACAGTGGTGCAGTGGCAAACACGCATCACAGTGGGGCAGTGGCAAACACGCAGCACAGTGGGGCAGTGGCAAACACGCATCACAGTGGGGCAGTGGCAAACACGCATCACAGTGGGGCAGTGGCAAACACACATCACAGTGGGGCAGTGGCAAACACGCAGTGGCAAGCACGCATCACAGTGGGGCAGTGGCAAACACGCATCACAGTGGTGCAGTGGCAAACACGCATCACAGTGGGGCAGTGGCAAACACGCATCACAGTGGGGCAGTGGTAAACACACATCACAGTGGGGCAGTGGCAAACACGCAGTGGCAAGCACGCATCACAGTGGTGCAGTAGCAAACACGCATCACAGTGGGGCAGTGGCAAACACGCATCACAGTGGGGCAGTGGCAAACACGCATCACAGTGGTGCAGTGGCAAACACGCATCACAGTGGGGCAGTGGCAAACACGCATCACAGTGGGGCAGTGGCTGGCAAACACGCAGTGGCAAACACGCATCACAGTGGGGCAGTGGCAAACACGCACCTCAGTGGGGCAGTGGCAAACACGCATCTGTTAGAATTATATACTGTAGCATGCTAAGCAGCACATGTGACTGTACACCAATTGTGGTGTACAGTTGGGTTGGGACTACACCCAACATTGGGTGTAGCCTTGCACTTTGGGGTGCCAATCCACCCAATTGTGGTGGAGCCCCCAAATTGCAACCCTCTTGACTTTTGGGTACCTCACTTCACAATTGAGGCCACCACAAGCCAAGTGGGCCTAGGGTTGCCACACTTCTTAGAAGTGTGGGCAACCCAACCCTCCCCACCTATGGTTGCCTCACTTCCCAAGTGAGGTCAACCCAACCATAGGTTGGGTTCATCCTTCCCTTCCAACCTTCCCTTCCAAACTATGTATGCTAGGTTTGCTCTCTAATCCAAATCACTTGTTCAATTTACATTCTTCACAGCATCAACAGATGGTACTGGCTGCTATGAACGTCCTCCTCTTCCCATCCAAACTTGGCGCCTACATCCCTCGAACCATCTGCCCCGCCCCCTTCGCCTCGCTCTTCCCTCTCTCTCCCTCTCCACCAAACCCCAACACATTACTTCCGTGTGGAATATGCGTTGCCTTGCCCATCCATCCTGTCAGGTGTTTTGGAAGCTGGACCGAGTGGAGAGCAGTGCGCGCATGCGGCGCCGCATGGTGCGCAACTACCGCGGCTCCGACTGCCACGGGCTCGCTGCTGACTTCCGGCCCCCCTCTGATGACCCCCCGCCCGCTGCCAAGCGCGCCCGCTCCCAGGGGGACGCGGATGGGGCAGATGGGGTAGACAAGGGGGTGGTGGCAGGGGCGGTGGGCTTGCAGGAGGGGGGGGATATGGGGGTTGAGGGGAAGAAACGAGAGAAGGATGGGGAGGGAGAGGGGGTTGCAGTGGGAGGGGGAGCAGGTAGTGAGGGTGTGGGTGTGGATGGGGAGGGGAAGGTTGAGGCAAAGGAAGGGGTGGCGGAGGGGAGTGGCGCAGGGGATGTGGATGTGGAGGGCGTGGGAGGGGCCATAGTGGGAGGGGCCATAGTGGGAGGGGCTATAGTGGAAGATGCATCGGGGCTGCTGGGGGGCTGTCTGCCCGCCCCTGTGAAAGACTTCGATGCTCCTGTGCAGACGAGGGCGGATGAGGAGGGGCAGGACGGGGAGGTCGAGAGGGACAGAGGGGAGGGGGAGGGTGGAGAAGGCGAGGAGATTGAGGGGGCACGAGGTGCAGCAGAGGGGGGTGGTGAAGGCGTGAGAGCAGCAGAGGGAGGTGCAGTTGGGGGTGGTGCTGTGGAGCATGAGTTGGTGGAAGGTGGTGTCAAGCAGGCGGCAGGTGCTGATGATACTCTGGGGGCGAAAGATGCTGAGTCAGGACAAACGGCATCTGCTGCTGATTCAGACGCCAAGGGTGGTGACTCATCAGGAGCAAGAGTGTCGGCAGTGGAGGAGGGGGCGAGTGCAGCAGGGGAGGAGGGTGGGGATGGAGGAGGCAGCAAGCAGGCAGAGGGAGGCAGCAAGCAGGCAGAGGGAGGCGAGGTGGCTTGTGAACCAACATGCCACACAGCTTCAGCCTCCTCGTCTGAGCCTCCCTCCACCACCACGGCCAGCAGCAGCAGCACCGCCAGCAGCACCGCCAGCAGCACTAGTGCCAGCAGTGGCACTGCTGGTCCCTCCACTGCTGCTGCTCCTGCCTCTACTGCCACCACCGCCTCCTCTACGGCCACAGCAGCCGCAGCAGCAGCAGCAGCACCCCAGGAGGCCATCGCAGCGTCGGCAGTGGCGGCAGTGGCAGCGGCAGCAGGCGAGCAGCCGGGGCTGTCAGCAGTGGTGGGCAGCAGCGAGGTGGCGGCGGAGGTGGCGGTGGGGGAGAGGGAGCGAGTGGTGGTGGAGGTGGCGGCCATGATGGTGCTGCCCCTTCAGGTCGTGCACGGCCGCCTCCTCGTCACTGCCTCTCGCCTGCTCTTCCTCGTCGACCCCTCCGTGCATTTCAAGGAGAGCGCGCCGGGCGAGCAGGGCAGGAAAGGGAGTGCAGGAGGAAGGGGAGAGGGCGAGGAGGGAGTGGGGGGGAAGAAGGCGCGGGATAGAGTGTGGCGGCTCACATCCGTGAGGGAGGTGCTCAGCAGGCGGTGAGTGAATGAGGTGCTCAGCAGGCGGTGAGTGAATGCCAGCAGGCGGTGAGTGAATGCCAGCAGGCGGTGAGTGAATGCCAGCAGGCGGTGAGTGAATGCCAGCAGGCGGTGAGTGAATGCCAGCAGGCGGTGAGTGAATGCCAGCAGGCGGTGAGTGAATGCCAGCAGGCGGTGAGTGAATGCCAGCAGGCGGTGAGTGAATGCAGGGACCTGAGCATCCCACTGCTCCCACTGTTTCGTACTAATCTGTGCGTGCGTGTGTGCGTGCGTGCGTGCGTGCGTGCGCGCATGTTTGTTTCTCTGCTTCTGCTTTCCGCTTTTTCCATTCGACTCCAGCAAATTTTTGTTCAGGAAGTCGTCTCATTTGTGCTTGCTGTGCCTTGCTGCGTCCGCCCTCTTCCGTCCCTTGTCCCCTCACGCCCCGCATGACATCAGGTATCTGCTGCGGCGGTCGGCCCTGGAGGTGTTCATGATCGATCGCTCCAACTTCTTCTTCAACTTCGAGGCAAGGGGAGGGGAAGGGACGAAGGGGGGGCAGGGCACACACGGGACATGACTTCACCAAGATGTTCACACGAGCTGGGCTGGGGGCTTGACAAGAGGAGAGAGCACAACCACATGATGTCATGTCATGTCATGTCATGTCATGTCATGTCATGTCATGGCATGGCATGGCATGGAAGCGCATCCCCCTCCCACAAATCCTCTTCCATATGCTGGCCGGAGCAATCCTCATGCATGTGGCCTCATGCATGTGGCTGCCTGGTGTGCCACCCCCCTTCACATCACGTCACATGACATGACATGACAGGGTCCGGAGGAGCGGCTACGAGTGCACCGAGCCATCGAGCATGCCAACCCACCGCACCTGCAGCACCACTTCTCCCCCACTCTGGTGCGCCCTCCTCTCCTCTCCTCCCGTCCACCTGCACCTCTCCACACCCTTTGTACGTCATAACCTTGCCACCCATCGTACCCTTAACGCTCTTACTGCCCGCCATGACATGCTAACATCATGCTCTTGGCTGTGTATACTTGTGCAAGAATGACCGCGTTGTTCCATGTGTGTGTGTGCGTTGGTATCCCCGTGCATCCTCACCAGCGCCCGGAGAAGATGCTAGAGCGGCTGCAGCTCACTGAGAGATGGATCCGCAGGGAGGTGAGCTGCCAGGGGAGACGCATGGTGGTCGTAATGACAGCACAGCCAGGGGATTGCCCTGTGCTGCTGTTTCCCCCCCCTGTTTTTTGTCTCACACCCTTGCTGTTTGTCTCACAACCTTGTTTCCATCTCCTCATCCTGCTCGTCATATCACTAGCTTTGACTATTTCATTCATCTCAACGCTATTACCAGCTGATCTTTTACCCACTGTTTTCTTGTTGCCATGTCGCTCCCATCTCGCTTGTGCTCTGCGCTGGTCCCTCCCACCGGTAGATCACCAATTTCGACTACCTCATGCAGCTCAACACCCTGGCAGGCCGCACCTTCAACGATGTCACCCAGGTAACTCCAGCAACGTCATTTTCCTCAATGTGCCGTTTCAGTAGATTGCTTCACATTTCCATCCTTGCTGTGCTTTGCAGCACATTCTTGTCTTTGTGTTCCTTCCCGTTAACAACATCTCCTCATATCACGCTCTTTCCTCCCTCCGTCTCCTCCCTTCCCTTCCTACCCTTCTCACCACACCCTTCGTCTCTCGTCCTGCCAGTACCCCGTATTCCCCTGGGTAATTCAGGACTATACCTCAAAGGAGCTCGACCTCACCAACCCAGCCACCTTCAGAGACCTCTCCAAGGTGCCTCTTCCTTTGCCCTCCAAATACCTTCGTCTTTCCTTCACAAACAAATCGAAATGCCTTGAGTATTCTCTCCTTCTGGCTCGGCTCTCTTTCATTCCCTCATCCTGTACTTTCACCTTGCCGTTTCATCCAACTTCCCTCGCATCCCCTACACACCTCTTCGCGCTGCCCTCCCTCCGGCCTGCAGCCGGTGGGGGCGCTGGATGCAGAGCGGTTGGAGAAGTTTGTGGAGCGGTACCACAGCTTTGCGGACCCCATCATCCCCAAGTTCCACTACGGCTCGCACTACTCCAGCGCCGGCATTGTCAGTCCCACTTCACTTCACTCACAATAACCTCTGCTCATGCCCGCTCACACAGTAACCGCTGCTCATGCCCGCTCACACGGTAACCGCTGCTCATGCCCGCTCACACCCCCATGCTGCACTGCACTTCAACGTCCCTAAACTATCGTAACCCTTGCACTCACCCTCGCTGTTCCGCACCCCCTTTCCCCTCCACAACACCACCCCCCCCCTTCTCCCCCCAGGTGGCGCACTATCTGCTGCGGGTGGAGCCGTACATGCCGCTGCCGTTGGTCCTGCAGGGCGGCCAGTTCGACCACCCGACCGCCTCTTCCTTTACTGACTTGACTCACTTACCCTCCACCCCCCCACCCCCCACCCCCCCCCTTCTCCCCCCAGGTGGCGCACTATCTGCTGCGGGTGGAGCCGTACACGTCGCTGGCGCTGGCCCTGCAGGGCGGGCAGTTTGACCACCCCGACCGGCTCTTCCTGGACGTGGCTGCCACGTGGCGGGGAGTCACTTCAGACATGAGCGATGTGAAGGAGCTGGTGAGGCATGGCAAGGAGCTGGTGAGGGCAGGGGGTGGGTAACAAAGGGGGATGTAGCATGGCTGCCTGTAGCACGGCTGCCTGTAGCACGGCTGCCTGTAGCAGAGCATCATATTCATCTTGCGTGTGTGTGTGGTGCTCTTGATCCTCTATCTGTTGTATCGTTGCGATGTGTGCTGCCATGCCAGCAAACATCACCTCATCCCGACTCCCACTTACTCCCTCCCCTCTGTTGGCCGCGGTGCGGTGCGGTGTGGGCAGATACCGGAGTGGTTCTGTCTACCGGAGATGTTCACCAACATCAACGGGCTGCACCTCGGCTCCACGCAGAAGGGAGAGGTCATCGGTGCGCTCCCATCCCATCCACTGCGCACCTCACCTCTCATCTCCCTTCACACCTCCCTCTCTTTTTTTCTTCTTTTTTTTGGTGGTGGTTGGTTTCTACTGTTGTTTCCGCACCATCTCCCTCTCCCCTCCCCTCGCACCCCAACCTTCCGTCACCTCCCCTGTCCCCCTCCCCCACCCACCTCCCCCCGCTGTCACCATGGTGCGGCACTGCACGGCACCAGGGGACGTGAAGCTGCCGCCGTGGGCTGCCAGTGCGGCGGACTTTGTGCGCAAGCAGCGGGCGGCACTGGAGAGCGAGTATGTCAGCAGCAACCTGCACCATTGGATCGACCTCATCTTCGGGTACGTGCACCGTTGGATCGACCTCATCTTCGGGTACGTGCACCGTTGGATCGACCTCATCTTCGGGTGCGTGCACCGTTCCATCTAACTCTTCTCACTTTACTCGAGAAGTCTCCCCTGCCTTTCATGTTCCACACATCACATGTTGCTCGCCTCTCCACTAGCGGGTCATGCCTCTCATGCGGGTAACTCCTTTCTTCCCGGCTCGCATCCTGCTGCCCTGTGGGGTGGGCTGCCCCTCCTGCGTCTCCTCACCCTCACCACGTGGCGTGGCAGGTACAAGCAGAAGGGCAAGGAGGCCTTGGCGGCGCACAACGTGTTCTTCTACGTCACCTATGAGGGCGCTGTGGACATCGACTCCATCACCAACCCCGTCAGCCTCACCCCCCTCTCCTCTCCTCGCTCACGCTCTCTTGCTCTCTTGCTCTCTTGCTCTCTGCCCACCCGCCATCACCTTACGTCTGAGCCATCACGTCCCCACGAGCCATTGACCAACTGTCTTGCACTCACCCACTCAGCACCGTGCCATTCAAACATACTACCACCTGGCGGCTTTTCCTTCTCCTCTGCCCTCCGCAAGCACACTCTTGCTCAATCATGCCCAGCCTCCCTCACCTCCCTTCATCTCCTTGCTCCCACCACCGTCCCTGCAGGTCGTGAGGAGGGGCATGCAGGATCAGATCTCCTACTTCGGCCAGACGCCCTCGCAGCTACTCACCACACCGCACCCACCGCGCATCCCGCTGGACTACGCACTGCACCTGCACACGGTGTTCCGCAAGCCAGACGAGATCCTGCCCTACGTGCTGCCGCACCCCGACACCCTCAACGTCCCCGCCAGCCGCATCGTCGCCACCTCAGATGCGATTGTGACCGTTGATCTCAACGCTCCTGCGTGCCACGTGGCGGTGCACCAGTGGCAGCCCAACACCCCGGACGGCCACGGCTGGCCGTTTCTGTTCCAGCCCGGGCGGTCTTCGCTGACAGGTAGTGCCATTCTGCGCATGCTCACGGGGGCGGCGCTGGGCAGCAAGGGCAGCAACAGCGAGACATCCCTCTATCCGCGCCTCGTCGCGCTCCCTGCTCCGGGGATAAAGCACACGACAACAGCAGCAGGCGCGGTCGGAGGGGAGGGGAAGGAGGGTCCGGCGGGGGAAAGGAGATCATAGCGATTTCCCCGGACGGCAAGTTTCTGTTCACGGGCGGGCAGGCTGATTTCTCTGTGAAGCTGGTCTCAGTGGACTCCACTCGCGTGCTCGAGACCGCTGCCGTGCATGGCGGCCCCGTGACCTGCCTCGCTCTCTCCCCTGACGGCGCCACTCTCGCCACGGGCGCCACGGACGGGGTGGTGCTGCTGTGGCGAGTCAACCAGGCCTCCGCGCCCTTCCCTTCCTCCCCTGCCGCGGGGGTCACGGCTGGCCTCGTGGCTGCTGGCACGGGGGCGGGAGGGCGAGTGGCACGGCGCAGCAGTGCCGCACCCACGGGCCCGCACGACCCGGCGCTGGCTGCGGCCGCTGCAGCGGTGTCGGCGAGCGAGGAGCGAGCAGGCAGCATGGCAGTGGGCGGAGCAGATTACCCTGAGCGGGGCGCCGGGGGTGGCATGTCGGAGGCGGCACTGCTGCTGAGCGCAGCCGGGGGCATGGGCGGGGCGGGGGGGCTGGAGGCGCCGAGGAAGTGGAGGCGCATGGAGGGACCCGTGCAGGTGCTGCGGGGGCACCTAGACACCATCCTGTGCTGCGCCGTGTCCTCGGACCTCGACCTCGTGGCCTCCTCCTCGCGCTCGCGCGGTGTGCTCCTGCACTCCCTCATGAAGGGCCGCTTCCTGCGCCAGCTGCCAGGGGTGGGGCCGGCAGACCTGCTAGCCATCTCGCCGGAAGGCGTGGTGGTGGTGTGGGAGCGGCGGCAGCGGGCACTGCGTGCGTTCACGATCAACGGGGCGGCGGTGGCGGGGGTGAGGATCTCGGAGGAGGATGGTGATGTGAGCAGCGTGCAGGTGTCGAGCAACGGGCTGTTTGTGGCCGTGGGCACGGACTGCAGCCGGTGGCGGCACGTAAGGGAGAAGGAACGGCAGAAGGAGAGGGAGCGCGCTGCTGTGATTGCCGGGGAGAAGGTGGGGCTGGGGAAGGCTGGGAGCTTCAAAGAGGATGAGGCGCGACGCAGGGATGGTGGGGGTGAGAAGGGCGAGGGAGGAGGGGAGTTGGAAGGGGAGAAAGGGGAGGCGGGCCGTGGGCAGCGGGACGAAGGGGAAAGAGCAGGGGAGGGAGGCGAGGGGTTGACCTTAGGCAAGGAGAGCCGGGAGGGAGAGGGCGAGAGGAGGGAGGGCGGGGAGGTTGAGGGAGAGGGTGGAGGGGCGGCAGCAGGGGAGCGTGGTGCACTGCCGGACTGGAGGAGCACGGACGAAGGGGGGTCACAGAAGGAGCGTGGATCAGCGGTGTCACTTCTTGACCTCTTCTCCCTCAAGGTGCGTCACAGTTCCTCCTTAAGCTGCGGCTGCAGCCATGCCGCTTCATCACACCCTTCACCACCTGCATTCCAAGGCGTCTCGCCCATGCCTGCCTCTACTCTCTCCCATCCCCCAAATAAGCCTTCATAAACCTCTACTCTATACTGTATGCCCCATCCCCTTAGAAGCATCATTCTTAGCACCTGCTCCCATTCCCCCAATCCCTCTGCTGCACATCCCCTCCCCCATGCTGGCAGGCGCTGTGTCGGTTCAAGCTGCCGGAGGGCACGGACGTGACAGCGCTGGCGCTCTCAGCGGACAACACCAACCTGCTCTGCTCCACCTCCGCTGACCTCGCCCCCGGCCAACTCATCCTCTACAGCAACCCCCTGGTACGCCTGTGGCAGCTACAGCAACCCCCTGGTACGCCTCATCCTCATACTCTTCACTGGCCTCTCACACATCAACACTGACAGCAGCTTCCGTGTTACCAGTACTAGCTTAACAGTTGTGCTTGTTTACCCCTTACTCTCGTTTCCACTAGCCCCCATCTCCTGCCCTCCTCACTCCCATTCTGTTTCCCCCCAATTGCACCCTTGGCCGTCCTCACTCCCCCTCCTGCTCCCCCTGGCAGCTGAGTGTGAAGATGGTGGATCAGATGCTGCGCCTCGGCTGGGAGGGCAGCGACTTCGCCAGCATCTTCTGACCCTGCCTCTTGCTCGCTCTCATGTTTCGTACCCTAATCACATCATGGCTGTGTTTGTGGTAATTGGTCATTATGGTTGTTGGTGTGTTTACTAGTTCTGTAATTATTTTCTCACATTATTCTCTTGTATGGCTTGTGTAAAACGGAACGCACCAAAAGTAGCAGTGAAACTGAACAATATGGACATCCCCGGTACAATGCATTTCGACGTCCGAGTCGCGGCACAAATGCACAAACCTGACGTAACTGACGAACTTTTTGGGGGACAACTTCAGCTGCAATCCAATTTAGCCAGCGCGGTTCGCAAATGCGATGGCATGTGAGGGGTCGTTATCTGCCCGCGGTCAGAAAAAAATAAACCCCATCTGGATGGCATGCGATTAGGGGAGCCCCAAGCCTAAACGCGGAGCCCCAACCCTAAACACGGGCAGCCGCGTGGTTCTGCCCGAAAAGATCGCATTCGCAAACACGCACTGCGAAGATTGGATCGCAGTTCGAATTGACCGACTTTTTGGTCCAGGCAAAGAGGAACGTGGGGAGAGGAAAGAAACGGTGAAGGCGAGGGGAAGGGGGAGGAGTAGGACCGAGGGGGGGGGACAGTCGGGCAGGGGGGCGAAATGAGGTCGGCGGCAGCCCTGCAGCCGACCCTTCGGCGCATCCGTGCTTTCCCCCTTGGCTCTCTCCGTCGTCCAGCCGACCATGTGGTGGGGTGGGGGAGGAAGGAGGGGGGTTAGTTTGGGGAATTGTTTGTACCACAAAGTCGTTTCACGAGTGCGTTTGGCGTTTTTGTGCGTCAGGGCGAAGTCAGTCGCACTCGTATATTCGGTTACACTCACACCGGCCTTCTCGCCATAAGGCACCAGAAAGACCACCCAAGATAGACGAAGAGTCGCAACGTCGCCGCCGCTTTCGCCTCCCCGCTTGGCGCTTTACTCCCATTGGCTGTGCGTTTCCGCCCATCTCCCCTAGCTCGGCATGGCAGCCTTCAGAAAGAAATTGCAACGGAGTGGTGAAGCGAAGGGGTTGTCTGTCACGGGGAAGGCTGACCCGCGACGTCCCTGGCAGGCGCGATGCCTATACAACCTGACCGACACCCCCCATTCCTCCCAATCTGGTAACTTCGCCTCCAGTGTCGTTTAGCGCTGTCCAGGAGAGAGATATTTTGTAACCTTGCTAGCCGTAATAGACGGTGCATGCAGCCCGATAAGTTAGCTCGCACCACTCTCGCCGTCGCCCACGCGTGCCCGGTAATCCTCGAAGCAACGCATCCTAGCATTGTGCGTCAGTCGACCAGCGTGGAAGCCTAATGGAACCCAAGAGCTGCTTGACGACAGTAGTAGTGCCTTAGCGTCCCACCTCACCCCAAACATCGCGTGCACCAGTAGTTCGTACGAGTAGAACCTTAGCGTCGCGCTCGAAGTGTCCTCTGCCCGCCGTTTCAGTCCATGCGCGCCCGACGCTGCCGTCGCCACGCCCATCCGCGCTCATGCCGACACCTCCATCGTCGCACCGCCGTCGCTGATGCTCGTCGCACGACAGTGGACGATCGCTCCCCGCCGTCGCAGCCATGGTCGTCGCGAGGGCCATTCCGACACCATGCCGCGCTCCCCGTCATCGCCTAGAAACCACTCGTTAGTCGCGCGCTCGCGCTCCAACTTGTCGCACGGAGTCGCGCACTTCAGCAAGTCGCAGCGATTCAGCCTGCGAGCAGCCAGCGTCGCCGTCGCGCTCCTCGCGCTGCTTGCGCTCGCCTCGCCCCGGCCCTGCGCAGCGCGACGACCGCTCGGCTTTAAATCGCATCAACCGCCGATCGGCGTGGAGAAGAAAGGGGGCGGGAACAAGGGTGGGGGGAAGGGCGGGGGAAAAGGTGGGGGGAATAAGGGTGGGGGGAACAACGGGGGTGGAAACAACGGCGGAGGGAACAACGGCGGGGGGAACAACGGTGGAGGGAACAACGGCGGGGGGAACAATGGGGGCGGAGGCAAGGGTGGGGGGGATAAAGGCGGCCCTGTGAAAGGCATCGGGCTGCAACCCTTGTCGTGTTACTTCGCCACCAAGGTACTTCGCCACCAAGGTACTTCGCCACCAAGGTACTTCGCCACCAAGGTACTTCGCCAACAAGGTACTTCGCCACCAAGGTACTTCGCCAACAAGGTACTTCGCCAACAAGGTACTTCGCCAACAAGGTACTTCGCCGACAAGGTACATTCGTGCACTACTGAGCATGCGCGCGGTGCATGGGAGGGTATGCGCGCGGTGTATGGGAGGGCATGCGCGCGAGGAGCGGAGGCGAGAAGTGGGCGCGCAGGGCATGGGAATGCGAGCGGGTCCCGTTGAGCGCGTGTGCTCCCCTGCGCGCAGTCGCACGTTCATCTGCACGCATGAAACTGTCGCACGCACGTGCACATATCGCATGCCTTGATAGCCCTTGTTGCGTGGTATCGTCGCGAACTGTCGCGCAACGCTCGCAGTCGCCATGCCCCCTTGCGCGCACATGTCCCCTTGCGCGCACATGTTCCATGCCGCGTGCGCTCACTCACATGCCCGCGGGGACCACGGCACATGCCGTCACTTGACGTGTCATTTTCTCACCTCTCCATACCTCACCTGCCGTGTTTCGATCCCCCTGTCCCCCCTGTCCCCCGTGTCCCCTGCGCGGCCCCGTGTCCCCTGCGCGGCCCCGTGTCCCCCGTGTCCTCCGTGCCCCCAATGCGACCCCAGGCGTGCGACTTTGTGTTCAACCGCTCGGCGTCACTGGCGCCCATACTGCCGCTCGTCGCCATGCGCCCCGACCAGCCCATCTCCTCCGCCATCCTCCACAAGTCCGCCCTCCCGCCCACCTGCTCTCCGCCTCTCCCGCCCCCCACCTGCTCTCCGCCTCTCCCGCCCTCCACCTGCTCTCCGCCTCTCCGCACCTGCTCTCCGCCTCTCCCGCCCCCCATCTGCTCCCAGCCTCTCCCGCACCCCCCTTGATTTCTGCCTCTCCCTCGCGCGCCCCTCCTCTCCGCCTCATTCGCCTGACGCATAGCCTCCGCTCTGAAGTACACACTCATGCGCACGTACACGCACACTCTCCCTCTCTCTTTCTCGCACACCCACCCACACACGCGCGCGCGCATGCAAACACTACTCGTTCTTACACACATCTACCTCATGCATGCACTCTCGGTCTTTCTCACACTCTCCCTGACACACACATGCACGCACCCTCATGCAAACACACCCATTGACACACATTTTCGAGCATTATCGTCCACATACACCCACACACTCACTGGCCCTCTCACTCACCCGCACTCGCCATGTTCCCCCCCCCGTGCCCCCCACCCCACGTGCGCCATGGCACGGCATGGCAGGGCGGGCAGTCGCCCCGTGGTGTCGGCGTCCCTGCAGGCCTGCCGCGCCCTCAACACCCTTGCTGTCAGTCGCCCTCGCCTCCCTGCTTTTCGTCTTGCCACATCACGCCATGCTGGCCCCCACTTCATTCATACTCACATGCTGCACTCCTTCCTGCTCTACCCCACGCACCTCTCACACCTCAATGCCCCCGCTCCTTTCCTCACCCATGCTCCACCACCCTCGTACTCTCCGCCCTCCATCGCCCGTCATCGCCCTCCATCGCCCTCCACCACTCCCTTGCCTCCCCGCTCACTTTGGTTGCCTCCCGCTTTTCTGCCTCCCGCCTCTTCTCCCCCCCCCCACCCTGCATGGCGCCATGACCATCAATTGCCACGGTGCATGGCTGCAGCTGCGCCTGCCGTCGTGTCCGGCCTTCACCTTCGTCTCCCCCTCTGCCTCCAGCAATGGCGTGCGCATCGCCGGCAAGGCCCTCTCGCTGCTGCAGCTCGCTGTGAGTCATGCCAGTCAATGCGGGCGTGGGCAGTCATGCCAAGTCATTCCAGTCAATGCGGGCATGGGCAGTCATGCCAAGTCATGCCAGTCAATGCGGCCATGGGCAGTCATGCCAAGTCATGCCAGTCAATGCGGCCATGGGCAATCATGCCAACTCATGCCAGTCGTGCCAGCCATGCCAGTCATGCCAGCCATGCCAGTCAGTGCAGTAAATGCAGTCAACTCAAACAGTGTTGTCTGGCCTGATTTTCTCCAATCCTCTTGCCTGCATGGCCGTGTGTCTCCTGCCTGTGTGTGGCTGGGCAGCAATACAGTGGGGCGTGCTTCACACTCGACTTCGCCCAGATGATGGTCAAGGTCGGCAGTGGCCCGCGTGGCATGACGCGATTGGTCCGTGGCGATGGCAATGCCGAGTTCCCTGAGGTCAGTGCCCTCTCCACTGCCCCCTCCCCTCCACTGCCCCCTCCCCTCCACTGCCCCCTCCCCTCCACTGCCCCCTCCCCTCCACTGCCCCCTCCCCTCCACTGCCCCCTCCCCTCCACTGCCCCCTCCCCTCCACTGCCCCCTCCCCTCCACTGCCCCCTCCCCTCCACTGCCCCCTCCCCTCCACTGCCCCCTCCCCTCCACTGCCCCCTCCCCTCAGCTGCCCCTCCCCTCCGCTGCCCCCTCCCCTCCACTGCCCCCTCCCCTCAGCTGCCCCCTCCCCTCCGCTGCCCCCTCCCCTCCACTGCCCCCTCCCCTCAGCTGCCCCCTCCCCTCCACTGCCCCCTCCCCTCCACTGCCCCCTCCCCTCCACTGCCCCCTCCCCTCCACTGCCCCCTCCCCTCCACTGCCCCCTCCCCTCCACTGCCCCCTCCCCTCCACTGCCCCCTCCCCTCCACTGCCCCCTCCCCTCCACTGCCCCCTCCCCTCCACTGCCCCCTCCCCTCAGCTGCCCCCTCCCCTCCGCTGCCCCCTCCCCTCCACTGCCCCCTCCCCTCAGCTGCCCCCTCCCCTCCGCTGCCCCCTCCCCTCCACTGCTCCCTCCCCTCCACTGCCCCCTCCCCTCAGCTGCCCCCTCCCCTCCACTGCCCCCTCCCCTCCACTGCCCCCTCCCCTCCACTGCCCCCTCCCCTCCACTGCCCCCTCCCCTCCACTGCCCCCTCCCCTCCACTGCCCCCTCCCCTCAGCTGCCCCCCCCCTCCCCTCCGCTGCCCCCTCCCCTCCGCTGCCCCCTCCCCTCAGCTGCCCCCTCCCCTCCGCTGCCCCCTCCCCTCCACTGCCCCCTCCCCTCAGCTGCCCCCTCCCCTCCGCTGCCCCCTCCCCTCCACTGCTCCCTCCCCTCCACTGCCCCATCTGCTGCCCCATCTGCTGCCCCATCTGCTGCCCCATCTGCTGCCCCATCTGCTGTCCCCTCCGCTGCCTCCTCCGCTGCCTCCTCCACTGTCCCCCACCGCATCTCCCTTACTACTACCACCACGTGAACCATGCTGTCCACCCGGTTATTATTGTGCGTCCTTGTCTGCATCCGCGTCCCAGCTGTCCCTGCACGCACTGCCTGCCATGCACGTCAGTGTCACAGGGATTGATTGTGCCGTTCTTCATCCTCCCACTGGTACTTTCAAGCTGGTTGACTCACTTCCTTTTGCCCGTGTCTCTGCCACTGTTTCTTACTCTGTCAATGCATGCATGGCCATGTGTGCCTGTGCATGTGTTTGTGCTGCATGTGTGTCTGTATGGTGTGTGCTCTATGCCTCTCTGTGTGCTGTATGCCTCTCTGTGTGCTCTATGCCTCTCTGTGTGCTCTATGCCTCGTACCCATCATCATCAGAGCCGGCGCTGTATTGTCTTCCGTGCTATCTGAAGCCTCCTGAACCTGCTGCGTCTCTTCTGCTGCTGCTCCAATGTCGCTGCTCTAGTGCCACCTGCCTCGCAAACGCTAAAATCACTAACTGCCTCGCTCCCTCACTCACACACGCTTTCACTAAGAACCATGTCGCTCCAAAGCGTCACATGCAGCAGCGCATGGTGCCAGCCAGCCATGCGGGGGAGCAATGGCGTGCATGAAGCACCTGAGGGTCTACGGTTGGCGCCGCCGCCACGGCGCACCGTTTTTACCCCGAGTGCTCTCTGGCCACCACCACCCTGCGCATGTGACCTGCACAGCCCGCGTCACTGGCCCTTGTCTGTCTTGCTGTTTGTACCTCTGCCCCTCTCTGCACATCACTGGTGGATCCAAGCGCGTACAGCTCTCTCTTACCCTGCGGGCTCTCTCCTTGCTCCTCACACTCCACTCACTTGGGTGGCCGCAACGCGAACCACACACTAGCCTCGTGTCTCTAACACGGCCAGGCTCCATCAAACCCCAGTCGTCGTTACCACCACCACCACCACTATCATCACCTCCAGCCGCCCAGCAATTACTGTGCCACTTTTTTGAGGAATGGTTTGCCCATATTTAGCTCATGTCATGTGTCAAATATATATATGAACTCTATATGCCATGCATGTACACGTAGAACTGGTACCATCCTGCTTGTTTTCAGTTTTCCAAAAATACCATGTACACGTACAGGTATGCGTTTCTGTTCTGCCAACAGGGTTTATACTAAGGGAACGTTCCTGTGGAGACATTTGTGTCTCAATCACTTTGTGACACCCAAAAACAACATATACTGTAAGTGTCTCAAAGGCGAGTCGCCTCTCTACGACTTTTACTGTATTTTTTATTGGTCAGCGTGAAATGCGCTGACGTCGTTGACGAATTGCGAGACGACCTGTCATTGTAAAAGAAATCGCACGCGACTCGAAATGTCGACACGGCCACATGCACTTGGACACCCGAAAATGCCAATCTCGCGAGGGAAAAAAAAGTCCCGCGCATTGAAACCACACCCCTGCACGGAGGTTGAAAAAACGGGTGTACTGTCACCCAATCAAATGCATGTCTCTGTACATTTCCTTTTTATCGCATCCACTGAAAAGTGTCCAACTGTCGTCGCTACCAATATGTCGCCGTACGATGTGGTACATTCGATGTTTGTGACGCGACATTATAAAATTTTACAGGCGCGACTCGGGAAAACGGGGATTGAGACACAAGTGTCTCCACAGGAACGTTTTCTAAAACTGTTTATAAATAGCACGCAGGTACATTGATAACTACCATAACTACACTTGAAGAACCTACACTGACCAACTAAGCAGCACACCACCAGCAGCAACATCCCATGACAAGCCTCGGTCATCACATGGCCCAGCCTCTGACCCATTGGAGAGCACATGAGCAGCTTCAGTCGTTTCATTCAGCCCCACTCCACAATCCAGCCTCCATGCTCCAACCCACCATCCAGTTGCTACAACACCCTGACCAGCAGGGTGCAAAAAGTGTTGCCGCCTTCCTCCCCACTGTCCACCACCCCGTGCCTTCCCCAGCTGTACCTTGGCTGCTCTCTGCTCGCTCCAATCAGCACCACCCTCCCACTCTCCACCGCACACTGCACCTCTCACGGCCTCCAAGGAGGCCTTGCTGCTGCAGTTGCCATATTTGCCCTGATATGCCTCCTTCCTCTGCATTCCTCACCGCCAGTCCTCCTCTCCTGCCGCTGCCTTGTGCTGCTGCTTGCTGAACGTACAGGACGGGTTACCACAGCTGCTTGCTTTGTTCCCAGAGCTTCCACCGCAGGATGTGCAGTCTTGGCTGAACGTGGCTTGGGAATGAGGGACGGCGGCAGGCATGCAGTTTCTGCTGCCGGCCTCGTCCCACGCTTCACAGCACCTCCTGCACTGCCCTTGCTTGGCTTGGGGATGCGGGAAGGCAGCTCCCTCAGCCTGCCTGTTGCCATTCTCGAGCCTGATCCCTTGCTTGCAACCGAAAGAGCTGAGCTTGCAGTGGGACCCACTGCACCACCCACCGCTGCAGTCCCCTCTGTACACACCTCTGCTGCAGTTTCAGCCGATTTCTTGTTTCTGCCGTTTCTGAAGGTGTTGAAAACGCCACTCAGCACCTCCTTGGTGACTTGAGCCCACGCCAAGGTGAAACCGAAACTGCTGCTGTGATTGTCACCGCTGCAAATTTCGATTTTAGATATGCTCGCCTTCTTCACCACGCCACCGTCGCTGCAGCCAGTGCTGGACTCCTCTGCCGCCTCAAGAGGAGCCTCTGCAGTCTCCGTCAGGCCCTCAGCTCCCTCAGTAGCACCAGAAATGTCCTCCAGGGGCTCCACAAGGGCTCCAGGGGCGTACGTTACAGCTTCACAAGGCGTCTCTGCCGAAAGGTCCTTATTATCAGCAGAATGATATTGTGAGGCTTCAGAGTAATACCCTGCACCCTCGTAAGACGTCTCTGCCGTCACAGAGGAGCCTTCTGGAACCTCAGAAGACTCCTCTGCAGCAGAAGAGGAGTCCCACGCGGAGTCGTTCCACGTGTCCTCTTCCTCCGCAGCCAGATACAGAGGAGTGGAGGTCGAGACTTGAAGCACTGATTGCATGAGTGCTTCCCTGTTCCTAAAGAAGGCTAACGCTTCATAGAAGGTAGGATAAACAGCCGCATAATCGGCCATATTTGATTCAAAGTCAGAACCGTAAACGAGGCCTTGAGAGTAAAGCTTAACGGTGGGAAAATCTGGTAATATTAACGAGGGTAGGCTGAAAGTTGCTGAAAATCTAAAGACAATGCTCTGAGAAAGACTAGGCTGTGGTAATGCAGATTTGAAGAGGAGGCATGAGGCAGAACACAGAGGGGAGGGTTGTTGGGAGGAGCAGCCGAGGGGTCGAGAAATGGGAGGAACGAGAGCCTCCTGGAAGTGCTGCCGAACCGGGAGGCTCCGGGAATGTCTGAGCTTTTTGCTGGCATGCTGTGCTGGCGTGCTGCCCGGGTCAAAATAATCAACTAGGGCGAATTAGCTGGCTAATCGATTTTCATGGAGGTTCGGGCAAGAGCGGCACGAAAATGTTGGTTTCTGCTGCCCGCTTTGAGCTCGGAAATTCTGCCTCGGAAGAGAACCGAGCCTCCTTGCGAGAGATCCGGCGGCTCGTGGCGAGGTGAACGGAACGCATGCTCCCGAGCCTCATTTTCTCCGAGTAAACGAAAATCTGGGGAAAAAGCTACTCTGGGTTTGGCAACGCCTGGCAGACTTGCTAGGTCGGGTGGCACACGTGGCATGCCACTGCCCGAGGAGTTGTCTATGGTCGTGGTATGGTAGCGGCAAAAACGAGCAGCCAAGCACACGCTCCGTGAATTCAGCGGTGGTGCCTTGGAGAAGATTATCGAGGGGACATAGAGTTGTTCCAAGATTTAGAATCTGAACTCGTTAGAGAGGTTCTCGTGTCCTAATTTACGAAGTCAAATGTATACCATTTTCATGTCTTGGTGCAAATCATTCCAGCGAAACTCGTATCACATGATCCTTCCGCTTAGGTGTTGGATTGGATTTGTGCTTCGTGCAACATCCTCTGTTCAGTCCCCACAGCCTCCAACGGACCCTGAATGTTAGGCCCGACGGCCTAAGTCCGCTAAAGAATTAGCGGGGTCGACTAAGTCGAGGATAAACGCGGCGGAAGACTTTGGCGAAAGAGAGTGTTGGCGAAATAGGCGAAGAAGTAACTGAGTAATTGAAGAAGAGTTGAATGAGAATTGGTTGATAATGGCAAGTACAAGCAAGGTTTATAGAGCGAACAAGAAAGAAAGTTGGAAAGTAGTTTGTGAGACTTGGAGTTGGAAAGCTAGAAGAATAGAGTGCCACGTGGCGGTTGGGAAATCTAGGAAATCCAAGGAAATCCCAAAGGGATTGGATGAAGATAGGGTTGGGATAAGGTTGGGGGTCTGTTTAGGGTAAACTACCCTTGAACAGAAAAGTACCCCGTAACACTACCCCCCTCCCAAGGAGGCGACGTCCGCGGCGCCTGCAGACTGAAGGTACGCTTTGAGGCAAGCGTTGTCGGGAGACAGCGAGGACGAAGGAACCCAGCTGTCGTCGGCTGCATTGTAACCACGCCAAAGAACAAAGAAGTCGATGAAAGAGACACCTCCCTGCAGACGGCGACGGTGCCTGAGGATGCGCTGGATCTGGTAGTCGGGCTCGTCGGTGTCAACAGCTACCGGCAGTGGAGTGCGATCACGGCCCGAGAAGGTGGCGTTGGGATCGGTGTAAGGCCGAAGGAGAGACACGTGGAATGATGGGTGCATGCGGAAATGAGCGGGAAGGCGAAGGCGGTATGCGACTGGACCAAGTGCGCGCTCAATGACAAATGGACCAATGAAGCGTGGGCGAAGCTTGCTGTCCTGTGGCAGTCGGAGGTTGCGGCTGTCCAAAAGAACACGGTCACCAACTGAAAACGACACCTCACGACGACTGCGGTTGGTGGTGCGTGCCATGCGTGCATTTGCAAGCTCAAGGTGCTTCCTCACGTGGTCGTGAATGAAAGTGAGGTGCTGGTGGAAGTTATCAGCACGTGGGACTGTGGGTGTGAGATCGACACGAGTGGGGACATTGGGGTGCTGACCGTACAGTGCGAAGAACGGTGACATGCCTGTGGCGGAGTGATGCGTGTTGTTGTATGCGAACTCTGCCATGCTCAGCTTCTTGTCCCATGCGGCTGCGTCGTGCATCGTAATGCTGCGAAGAATCTGCTCTAAAGTCTGGTTCACACGCTCGGTCTGTCCGTCTGTCTCTGGATGGTACGCAGATGACATGGCTAAGCGAGTCCCAAACAGTGCGAAAAGCTGCTTCCAGAACTTCGAGGTGAATCTAGGGTCGCGATCGGAAATGATGGAATCGGGAACCCCGTGCAGTCGCACTATGTTATCTACGAACAGCGTCGCGGCTTCCTCTGCTGTGACCTGGCCGTGCGTGGGGATGAAGTGCGCTGCTCGAGAGAACTTATCAACTACTACGAAGATGGCGTCGTGACCCCTAACTGTGCGCGGTAAAGCCATGATAAAGTCCATGGTGACTACCTGCCAAGGGCGGTCGGGCGGTGGAATCGGCTGCAAAAGTCCTGCTTTGCGCTGGCGAGAGGACTTCGTACGCTGACACGTGTCGCACGAGCGAATGTAATCCTCTACGTCTGCTGCAAGCCCTGGCCAGTAGTACGTGCGACTAAGCGTCTTAGCCGTCTTATCCGCTCCAAAATGACCTGCACTAACTACGTCATGCGCCTCTGAGAGAAGGAGCTGTCGAAGAGGGCGGTAGGCTGGAACCCAAATCCGTGCTGTACCCTTCCGTATGTAGACACTACCCTGCACCTCTGCTCCTGCGGGCGGCTGCGGTGTGAAGTCGGGATCTACTGTGTAACCGTGCTCGAAGAGTGCTGTGAGAAGTGGATGGCCGGCAGTGACTGTGAGACTAGCGAGCTGGCAACTAGGGCGAGTGAGCGGATCTGCTGGGTTGCGCACGCCTGGCTTGTACTCTATCCTGTAGTGGAAACTCCCCTCCATGAACTCCATCCATCTAGCCTGGCGACGACTCAGCTGCGGCTGCGACTTGAGAAAGCGAAGCGAACAGTGGTCCGTGCGTATAACACTATCTGCCCCCTCTAGGTAGCACCTCCACACCTTATACGCATGGATGATCGCGAGCGCCTCCTTGTCGTGGATCGGATAGTTCAACTCTGCTCCCCTAAGCTTACGCGACTCGTACGCGATCGGCTGCAACCCGCGTCCCTGGTCCTGAAGAAGCACTGCACCTATGGCCTGATCTGAAGCGTCGGTCACTACAACGTACGGGCGAGTGGGATCGGGGTACGACAGTGTCGGTGAAGACGTGAGCGACTGCTTCATCTGCTCGAACGCCTGCTGCTGCGCTGGACCCCAAACGTACTCTACGCCTTTCCGAAGTAGGTCGGTGAGTGGACTAGCGATGGAAGCGTAACCCTGAACGAAACGACGGTAGTAGTTCGCGAATCCGAGAAAGCTCTGCAACTCCTTGACTGAGGTCGGTGCTATCCAATCCTGTACTGCTGCGATCTTCTTCGGGTCGGTCCTAACGCCACTAGCGGAAACGACGTGACCTAGAAACTCGACCTCGGGGAGGAAGAACTCGCACTTTGACTGCTTCGCGTACAGCTTCTCCCTCCGCAAGACCTCAAAGACCCTCTGCAAGTGCTGCACGTGCTCCTCCTTCGACTTGGAAAAGATGAGGATGTCGTCTAGGTAAACTACGACGAACGAACCTAGGAACTCCGAGAGGACTGTGTTCATGAGCGTCTGGAACGTTGCTGGGGCGTTGGTCAAACCGAACGGTAGTACCCTAAACTCGTACAACCCCTGCTTCGTACGAAACGCCGTCTTGTGCTGATCCTCTGGAACTACGCGAATCTGGTGGTAACCCGAACGAAGGTCGATCTTGGAAAATACTCTAGCGCCCTGCACTACATCTAAGAGATCCTCTACTCTCGGCACTAGGAATCTGTTTTTTACGGTGGCGGCGTTCAGTGCGCGGTAATCTATGCACATCCGTAACCCTCCGTCTTTCTTAGGCGCGAACAGGATCGGTGCTGCCCAAGGCGATCTAGATGGCTGTATGAACCCCTGCGCGAGAAAGTGCCTAACCTGCTGCGTCATCTCCTCTGTCTCTGCTGGACTCAACCTCCACTGCGGCTTCGCTACTGGCCTGCTCCCCGGCTCCAACTCTATTCGATGGTCTACTGCTCGGCTGGGAGGTAACCCTGGGGGCAACTCGTCGGGGAAGACGTCTGCGAACTCTGCTAACAGTGCACTCACTTCAGCAGGAAGAGTCGCCTTCTCACTAACTGCTGCACTCCCTCCTTTCCCCTCCTCAGCTTCAACCGCGACAAGGAAAACCGCGAAGATCCGTGCCGCACGCTTCACTAACTGTCGCACACGAACAGCATTAATGATAGCTGTGGATGATGTGGCCCCATCGCTCCACTGTGGCAGCTCCCGGAACTCCCCGTCTACCTTGACGCTACAGCTTCCCAGAGCCCAATCGAACTGTGTACTAACCGTCCGTAGCCAGTCTCTCCCGAAGATGAAATCGTAACCGTCCAGCGTCGCAGAGTCAAAGTCACGCCTAACAGTGATCGGTCCTAGCACTACGCGCAACTTGCGAATGACTGGTCCTATGTGAAGCGGCGTCCCATCTACCATGCGAGCGTCCTTGAAGTTGACTGCCGTATCTGCTTCGAGATGGAGACGACTAACTAATGAAGACGAAACGAACGAGTGGCTAGCTCCGCTATCGACGAGAATCTTAACAGGAACTCCGCGAAGCTTCCCTAGAAGCACGACTGGACGATCAACAGTGTCTACCCCGTTCTCCGTAGATGACTGCTGCAAGGCCGTCTCCTCTACGTTGGTAGACGTGGCGGGTACGGGAACCTCCACACCAGCTAGCGACCCGCTATCTACTGGCGGTTTCCGTTTCCCTGCTGCTGCTCCTTGAACTGTGGGCAGTCCCGCTTCATGTGACCCGGCTTTTTGCAGTAGTAACAGTTCCCCCTAAAACCCGTCCGCTGTGAACCGTCACTGTTAACTGCACCAATCTCCATGGGCGATGGTCCGTCCCTCGATCGAGCATCGTTGATCGGTCTGTTGTATCCCCTATCGCGATCGTCACGACCCCGTCGGCTTCGTACTGCGTCGACGCGTTCTGCTGCTGCGACTACCGACTCGAAGGTGGACAACCCGTGAATCGCTATAACCTCCGCTATGTCCGGCTTCAACCCTTCGAGGTAGCGATCGCGCATCTCTGCTTCCGTGATGTCGTCTATCTCGTTGCAGATGCTCAAGAACCGTCGTGTGTACTCCTGGACGTTTCCTATCTGTCGGAAATGACGCAGACGCTTCCTAGCAGCTTCGGAGGCGTTCACCAAGTCGAACCTACTTTTCAGCGCCGCTTCAAATCCTTCCCATGTGGTCGGAACCGTGGTAACACCCAAAGCTAAACTCCCTAAGCTCGAAGTTGCAGCTGCATGCCCCACGCCCTGTTGATGCCCGTCCGTCTGAGCCCTTCTAACAGCAGTCTGCGTAAGTTGGCGCCACCACTCCAAGGCCGGGCCCCTCAGCAGCGTTACGGCGTACTCGATCCGCTGCTGCGCGTCCGCCTCTTGCACCCCGCTCGCGGCGAAGTAGTTGTTGAGCATGAAGAGCCACGTCCGCACGTTCGCGTCGCGTTGACTTGGGTCGAACGACTCCGGTTTCTGCGGCTTGAGCGCGCTTCGACGTTCCGGCAGCGCTTCCGCGCCAGTCGACGTGGTGGGTGCAGGAGTTGGTGCGGCATGACCATGGGGGTTAGAAGCCAATTCACGAAGCTGTTGCATTTCAGCTCGTACCTGACGATTTTCCAACGTCAACTCTTGAAGTTGGCGCATGAGTTCGGCAAGCGTGTTGCCCATGTCGTGGGGGAGAGCGTGCATGGTTTCGTCCATGTTCGCTCGACGACTCCAAGTCTGCAAGTCGGCACCGCGGGACGATGACGTCGTAGTCTCGTCGTCGACGGCCGCTCGTTGGAAGTCGCTCCCCGCGAAGGCTCTGATACCAAGTGTTAGGCCCGACGGCCTAAGTCCGCTAAAGAATTAGCGGGGTCGACTAAGTCGAGGATAAACGCGGCGGAAGACTTTGGCGAAAGAGAGTGTTGGCGAAATAGGCGAAGAAGTAACTGAGTAATTGAAGAAGAGTTGAATGAGAATTGGTTGATAATGGCAAGTACAAGCAAGGTTTATATAGCGAACAAGAAAGAAAGTTGGAAAGCAGTTTGTGGGACTTGGAGTTGGAAAGCTAGAAGAATAGAGTGCCACGTGGCGGTTGGGAAATCTAGGAAATCCAAGGAAATCCCAAAGGGATTGGATGAAGGGAAAATATGCCACAAGTAACGAACTTGGGACTCGATAACGTAGATGGTCCAAAAAAAACGCGTACGGTCACTGTATCGGGTTTCCAGACGGGTTTGGTAAGTGGGGTCACGGATTCAGTCATTAACAACAGGTAAAAAATCACGCGAATGGTCACACATGTAACTCCCGCCAAAAAAACTTGAAACTCAACAAAATTTCCGCTCTCCCCCAACCAATCTGCGAACTTGTAAAAAAAAACTAAAACCCAATCGGAATCGGATGCGGTTCGGGAACGGATCAACCCTAAACACCTGGCTAGTTACGTGTTAGGGTTGATTCATCCGAAAATGCACCCAGATTCTTTTTGGGTTTCATTTTGTTTTGGCGGGAATTTCATCTGTGACCATTCCCGTTTTTTTTTTACCTGTTGATTGTGACTGATTCCGTGAAACTCTTTATCAGTCGCGTGAAAACACCCTTTGCAGTGACCGTACCCTTTATTTTTTTACCAACTGTGTTATCGAGTCCCATGAAGGTTACGAATGGCATATTTTCCCTTGGATGAAGATAGGGTTGGGATAAGGTTGGGGGTCTGTTTAGGGTAAACTACCCTTGAACGGAAAAGTACCCCGTAACACTGAACATCGCGTAAGTGTTTTCGTTCTGAGTTGAGATTCCGTTGTAAATGTCACTGAGATTCGAACTTTGTTGTCAAGAGGACCCTATTTTGAGGGTAAAACTGACAACACTTACACTTCTCGGGTTTAGCTCCTGTGACTCCCAGACTCAGGTCATGCTTTTGGTCATTCTGCGGTCGTCCTCATCCTCACCCCACGACTCACCAGCCATCTCGTACGTTTTTAGCGACGTGATGATTAGCTTAGCGCAATCGACGGCGCAGTTTGCGTCATTCTGCCTCGAACATCGCATGCATTCGTTTTGCTGTTCTTCTTCCTTGTTTTGTTTCGTCGATGCTGCGATGGCTGCGTCGTTAGCATGTCGCACAGTCCGAGCCATATCATGCCCACAGGTCCTTCACCAGCAACGGAAGCGACCAGCCCGCAAGCTCGAGAATAGCTTCCTCGGGAATCCCGCGCTTATTCGTACTGCAGTTTCGTTCGTTTCGCACTCCTCGTGTATTGATGTCGCCGCGTGCTTCCGCGCATCAATTTATCCAAGGGACGATCCGAACCCTTCGCTCACTCCGTGTGTTGCGCGCACGCGGCAGAGCTGATGGAACGATGCAATGGGGGGACGATGAGGGTCGTCGTGATTGATTGTGATGGGCGATGAGCAGCTGGCGGGCGATGAGGCGGGCATCATGGCGCGGAGGGAGGTCCACGTGGCGGTCAGCAGGGCGCTGAGTGAGTGGCGCGTTGAGCGTTCCAGGTCAGCTCGTGTGGCAGGTGGCTGTGAGCATCTGAGGGCGTCCCGTTGGACGAATAGCGTTGCTTTCATTCTAGAAATACAATAGCAGTAACAGTTGGTGCTGGCTAATGCAATCGCGCATGGGGAGTTGAGCGAGCGATATGGGTTCATCTCATTATCTCCATGTTCTCGTCTCCGCCAGCCACCGTGGGTGCCTGGCAGCCAGCGCCACCGTGGTACTGCAGCCGTGACCCACTAGCGACTCCCATAATCGGAACAGCCGGTGAGCAGTGGGCAGGAAGGTTTCAACTGCCACGTGTGCTCATGTGAATCAGTCGGCGTGGAGGAGGAAGATGCGAGTGAGTGGCGAGTCTACTCTGCGGACCACGCTTGCAGCACTTGCCAAGCCAACACGTGTGCCTGGGGTGGTGGGTGCAGCAGCTGTTTCAGGCGCCTCCCAACAATTGCTGTTGGCACTGCGCTGCTGCTCGAGTGTTGGAAGAGCGTTTAGGTGCACCTCGAAACACACATTGTGGGCTGTAGGGGAGAAGGGAGGGGGTGGCTGGGAAATCCATGGGTAATGCGATTGTATGGTGAGTTGAGTGTGGCAGCCAGGTGGGTTAAAACTCCATGTGCGAGCGTGGTGCTGGAAGGCGTGACCCACTACCGAGTCTCGTTCGCCACCTATTATCTCAACAGCTCGTGAGCATCAACGTGAGCGGCTGCACTCACCCACATCCAAACTGTTTCACACGGTCACATGGTGCCATCTTTGAGAATTCTAAAAAATTGCTCACACGGTCACATGGTGCCATCTTTGAGAATTCTAAAAAATTGCTCACACGGTCACATGGTGCCATCTTTGAGAATTCTAAAAAAATTGCTCACACGGTCACATGGTGCCATCTTCTCGCATGCGTACTGCACTACCTGAGCTCACGCTGCCTTTCTTTCTTTCACGTGTTGTCTCACATTTATATTATGTTTGGACCTTTCCTTCCCTCACTCTGCCTTCGTACCTTCTTTTCTGTTTGCCTGCCTGCTTCCAGCCTGACCACCACTGCCTGATCTGATGACACGTGTGCGTGCCTTGCAGTTGCCACCAGCATCAGCGCCATCTGCTTCCTCCCACCACTCTACCATCCTCCACTCCATTCTTCTCCTGCTCCCCTTCCCCTTCTCCCTTTTTTCCCTCTCCTCCCCCTCTCCCCAGTCCGTGGTGTGACTGAAAGGAGTGTGAGTGCAAGGAGTGTGAAATGCAGGAAAGATGCCTGGTCAGGTTGGATGGAGAGCAGGGAGAATGAGGATAATCGGGAGAGAGTGTAATAGAGGTATGATGAGAGGGAGGGGTGGTAACAGAGGCAGCCGGAGGTGGAGCATGGATGGATGAGAGACACAGAGGGAGTGCCGGATGGATGGGGGTGCAGCTGCAGCAGCGGAGGCTGGGAGCGACAGGGAGAGATGGAATGTGCGGGCTGCTGTGAGCGACAATGCTGCAGTGAAGTGAGCGACAATGCTGCAGCGAAGTGAGCGACAATGCTGCACTGAGCGACAATGCTGCAGTGAAGTGAGCGACAATGCTGCAGTGAGTGACAATGCTGCAGTGAGTGACAATGCTGCAGTGAGCGACAATGCTGCAGTGAGCGACAATGCTGCAGTGAGCGACAATGCTGCAGTGAACGACAATGCTGCAGTGAAGTGAGCGACAATGCTGCAGTGAGCGACAATGCTGCAGTGAGCGACAATGCTGCAGTGAACGACAATGCTGCAGTGCAGTGAGTGACAATGCTGCAGTGAGTGACAATGCTGCAGTGAGCGACAATGCTGCAGTGAGCGACAATGCTGCAGTGAGCGACAATGCTGCAGTGAACGACAATGCTGCAGTGAAGTGAGCGACAATGCTGCAGTGAGCGACAATGCTGCAGTGAGCGACAATGCTGCAGTGAACGACAATGCTGCAGTGCAGTGAGTGACAATGCTGCAGTGAGCGACAATGCTGCAGTGAGCGACAATGCTGCAGTGAGCGACAATGCTGCAGTGAGCGACAATGCTGCAGTGAACGACAATGCTGCAGTGAAGTGAGCGACAATGCTGCAGTGAGCGACAATGCTGCAGTGAGCGACAATGCTGCAGTGAACGACAATGCTGCAGTGCAGTGAGTGACAATGCTGCAGTGAGTGACAATGCTGCAGTGAGCGACAATGCTGCAGTGAGCGACAATGCTGCAGTGAGCGACAATGCTGCAGTGAACGACAATGCTGCAGTGAAGTGAGCGACAATGCTGCAGTGAGCGACAATGCTGCAGTGAGCGACAATGCTGCAGTGAACGACAATGCTGCAGTGCAGTGAGTGACAATGCTGCAGTGAGCGACAATGCTGCAGTGAGCGACAATGCTGCAGTGAGCGACAATGCTGCAGTGAGCGACAATGCTGCAGTGAACGACAATGCTGCAGTGAAGTGAGCGACAATGCTGCAGTGAGCGACAATGCTGCAGTGAGCGACAATGCTGCAGTGAACGACAATGCTGCAGTGCAGTGAGTGACAATGCTGCAGTGAGCGACAATGCTGCAGTGGCAGGGGTGGAGGGGGGGAGAGGAGGAAGTCGGGACCGATGGGACAGGCTAGACGGGGGTGTCAGTGAGTACTGGTGCTGGCAATATCACAGGCAGTATCTCAGCGATTTTGCAACAACTCATCTTGTCTGTGCAGTGGCTCCCTCGTCCAATTTGCCGAGGACAGGTGGCGCGAGTGCACTGGTGCACTGGGCAAGGCAGGTCGAGATGGTGCTGCTGACAGCGGCTGGACGTGGCAGTGGTAACCGTGAGTTCTGGCTGAGGGCAATACCGGTGGCAGTCATGCAGGCAGCGAAGCTGCAGACGGTGGGGGGGGACGTCACCAGGACGGCGGAGTTTCAGCAATGCAACGAGCTGCTTGTTGCCTTGTGCTGCTGCTCGCTGTGAATTACAGTCTGGTTACCAGCAGCATCGGCTCTGCAGTCCTTGATGTATCCACCACCACCAGCTGCTGTTTTAGCTTTCAAATCGCAGATGGTGTTGGAATCACAATGTTGTATCAAGGCTGCTGTCGTGACAATGGTGAAAATGTTGATGGAAAGCCTTTGTGTATGGTGCAGGGATGTTCACTGTTTCCATTATGACATGCACGTTATCCACCGTTTGCACAAACTACGAATTTCTGTTATCCACCGTACAAGAATCCAACTGTCAGAAAAATAGAATGCCTGTTCAGCAAACCGCCCTTTGGTTTCATACAGGGATCATATCTACACAAATTGCACATCCTTTTTCTATCTGGAAACAGCCCTTTGGCCAGTACATCATCCTTGTTCCCTTCTCCCTTAGTAGACACCACTCTGGCCAGCACTTGACCTCCGGTCCCCCTTTCCCCCTGGGAAACAGCCCTCTGGCCCGAAATAGCTCCCTCAGTCCCTTACGGTATCCTCCTGGGGAACGGCCACAAGCAAGCTAGAATAAACACGAGTTACACAAATTTGTCAGAATGAAGAATGGATGGTGCATTGATGTTGGTTGGGGTACATATAGCTAACCCTAAGTTTTGTACCCCCTAAGACAAACCTCACTATAGGCTACAACATTTGACACACCCCCATAGCCTAAGTGAGGGGTGTCTAGCAGAACCAAACGAGTACGGTCACAAGACCAGTCCAAGAAACAAGGCTCAGGGTGGATCACAACGTCACCACACAGTCTGAGCACAAACAACAGTGGCCACAAGGCCAGTCCAAGAAGTAACAGAGGTATATAGAAAGCAAAGTAAACAGTACACTCAAGTCTAAGCAACACGAGAACCAGTGTCAACAAGGCCTAACTGCACACAGCACCTCTGGTGGTCACAAGGCGGAAGCGCCTTGGTGAAGATGTCTGCAGTGTTGGCCTCGGACTCCACAAACTCAAAGCGAGCCTGTCCACGCCTCTGCAACTCTCGCAGAAGAAAGTACCTGACGTGAATGTGCTTCACTCTGCTCTCCAGTCGTGGCTCTCGACAAAGGAGAATAGACGCCTTGTTGTCAGTGAACAAGGTCGGTGCAGAGCTCGGCCGCTCACCAAGGTCGGTGAGCAAGAAGGTCAACCAACGCAGCTCCTGTGCCGCCATGGCACCAGCGTAGATCTCAGCCTCAGCTGTAGAGGTCGAGACCGAAGAGGAGCGCGTGGACCGCCAGGAAACAGCTCCAGAACCCAGGCTGAAACAGTACCCCTGAGTAGACCTGTGAGTCTCAGCGTCGTCAGCGTAAGAGGAGTCACAGTGACCAGTAAGTACGACAGACTGCTGCCCTCCAAGAACTAGCCCCACGCCTGACGTCGTCGCTAGGTACTTCGCCACCCTCACAGCTGCTGTCCAGTGAACAGGACGGTGTCTCCCTGGCGCAACAAAGCGCGCAAGAACGCTGAGAGGGAAGGCGAGGTCCGGGCGAGTACAAGTCATCAGGTACATGAGGCAACCCACAAGCTCTGCGTAGGGACCACTAGGCTCGAACGGCTCGTCAGGAAAGGGTCCAGTGAGTCTGTGGTCAACAGCAAGAGGTGTGCGCTGTACTGTGGAGTGCTGAAGCCCGAACCGCTGAAGGACCTGCTGCACCATGTGCGACTGTGAAAGTGTAATGGTGCGAGCAGCTCTGTCCCTGGTGATCTGCAGGCCAAGGTAGTGGCGCAGCTCACCAAGATCAGTGCAGGTGTGTCTCTTCTGCAGTTCGGACTTCACGTGTGCCAAAGCAACCCTGTCAGGGGTGGCGAAAACAAGGTCGTCAACGTAGACCAGAACAAAGAAAGGTGTGGGGCCACGACGAACGAACAGCGACGGGTCAGCAGAAGACGGCTGGAACCCAAGGTCAGACAGGGTAGAACGCAAGGTGTCGTGCCACTCACGAGGAGCCTGACGAAGACCGTAAACCGGTCGCCTCAGCCTCCACTGGGTCCCAGGAGGGAAAGAGCCAGTGAAGGCAGAGGGACGACGCAACCAGACCTCCTCGTGAAGACTGCCCTGAAGGAAAGCAGTAGAGAAGTCGAGAGAGTGTAACTCGTAGTCTCTCTGTGCTGCTACGTGTAGTAACACCCGAAGAGTGGTCATCTTCGGGGTGGGCGCGAAGGTCTGAAAGAAGTCAACTCCCTCGCGCTGACTGAAACCTCTAGCCACGTAGCGCGCCTTGAAGACCGGAGGAGATCCCGGTGGCCGCTTCACCCTGTAGATCCACATGCCGTCGACTACGTTCGCCCCCGGAGGGGGAACCTCATCGACGTAGGTGCCTGTGGATCTGTAGGAGGCCATCTCTGCGTCCATGGCAGCTCTCCACTGAGAGGCCCAAGGCCCTGACACTGCCTCAGCGTAGGTGCGAGGAGTCGGAATGTCAAGGGCGTCGGGGTCACCCTCGGGGGCGAGGAGCATGGCACAGAGATGAGGGGAAGCGGCCGCCAGGAACTCTAGCTCAAACTGCCTGTCCTCTAGGGCGTCACAGCCAAGGGCAGACACACCCCCGACGGCCAGAGGACTGGAAGGAGGAGCAGCCACAAGACCGGTGGCGAAGTCAAGGCGGCGGGTAGAGGCAAAGTCAGTGACTGCGGCAGTAAGAGCGGACACAGAGGACACAGAGGCACGAGGGTGAGTAACAAGCGAGGCGAGAACACGAGAGAGAACAGGACGGTACGTGCGGTAGTAGTCAGTGACAGGAGTAGGGAGCGACGCAGTGAGAGCCGACTCAGGAGGAGACGGAAGCACAGACGGAGACGGACGAGGTGGACTAGAACGAAGTAAGGCAGTACGAAGGTCAGTGAAGGGAACAGGAGACGAGGGACGAGCACGAGGGGAGCGACGAGAGGCCCAAGTCTGAGAAGGAGGAGGGGACAACGAAGACTGAGAACGAGGGAAAACAGCGGGAGAGGGGTCAGGAGGAGGAAGCGGAGGACCAGAGACGGGAGGAGAGGGGGAGGAGGAAGGAGAGGGAGAGGGGAGACCAAGGGTCCGAAGACCCGAGACAGGGGGAGGAGACGACAGCTGTGGCTGCTGCTGCTCCAGCGGCTGCTGCCCCTGCTGCTGCTCCTGCTGCTGTCGCTCCTGCTCCTCGAGCCGCTGCAACTCTCTCTCCTCTCTCTCCAACTCCAGCTGCTCCTCACGAGCACGGCGAACACGAGCCTGGAACCTGGTCGGGTAGGGGTGGGGGGAAGGAGTAGTGTCCGGGGCAGCGGCAGCCCCAGAGTCGACCTCCGAAGCACCAAGCACACCACCCCCAGAGGCAGCACCAACACCAGCTCCAGACCCAGGCTCTCCAGAAACCGAAGGGGGAGGGCTAGCCTGAGACACACCAGACGGGGCTGGACCAGGGGGGGGGAGGCTGTATATATACCCTGCTTGCTGTGTGTTCTAGTGTAGCTACAGTGGTGGTGCACCAATGTGCTCACCTTTCTTTGCTATATCTTGTAACCTTGCTGTAGTGAACCGCTCCTTCCTGTTTCTCTCGCTCACGCTACCCCAAACCCTAAGGCTACTATTCTAACATGGTACAGAGCTGGTTCTTTCCCGGAACCTTCTCTTTTTTTTTAAGAATCATGGGCCCGCCCGTACTACAGCGCGAAATGCGCTATTTTTTTTCTCCCCGTTCGCCCGTCACGCGCGCCCTGCCCGTCCCCCCGAACGTGCCACGTCGGCTGCCTCGCGGACGCCCCGTCGGCTGCCCCGCGGACGCCCTGCCCGTCGCCCGCTGCCCCCCCGTTTCGTCGCCACGCGGCCCCCATTTCGTCGCCACGCGGCCCCCGTTTCGTCGCCCCCGTCACCCCGCAATCCGCCAGCGCGGAGGCCAGCGCCGCGGCCAGCCGCCAGCGCCAGCAGCAGCTACCGCCGCCCCCCCCCCCCCGCCCTCCCTTCCGCGGCTTCCGTCGTGGGGAGGGGGGAGGGAGGGGGAAGGGGTTGTGGGGGGGGGGCGGGTGTGAGGAGCCTGCCACTCCTCCCTCCCTTCCCTCTTCCTCTCTCCCTGCAGCAACTGTTGCTGTAGGGGGGGGGGGGGAGAGAAGTGCAGAAGGGTGAGGGGGTGGCGGGAGAAGACAGGTGCGGAAGGTGTGAGGTTGACGGGGTTGAGTGACGAGGGGGGTGAGGACTAAGGGGTTCTTAACGGGGGGGGATCGCATTGAGCGTGCGCGCTCATGCCCGCCTAGCCCACCTCCTCTCCTCATCGGGACTTGGGGGTTCTTAACGGGGGGGGATCGCTATGAGCTTTCGCGCTCAAGCCCGCCTAGCCCACCTCCTCTCCCTTCCCTCTCTCACCTCCCCTTTGTAAAAGGAGGTTCGTAAGCGGGTCCGCCGGTCCTGGCCCCCCACCTCCTCTCCTCTCCTCTCCTCTCCTCTCCTCTCTACCCTCTTCCGCTGCGCCACGTGTACCTGTACTAGTTATCACGGCAAGCAGGTTAAGGGGGTGTGTTAAGTTTTGTTATATACCCTGCTTGCTGTGTGTTCTAGTGTAGCTACAGTGGTGGTGCACCAATGTGCTCACCTTTCTTTGCTATATCTTGTAACCTTGCTGTAGTGAACCGCTCCTTCCTGTTTCTCTCGCTCACGCTACCCCAAACCCTAAGGCTACTATTCTAACAAAATTGCACGCACAACAAGACATTCCGGAATCCTACTACTTCCCAGTCTCATTCCTCCTATCTGACGATTACAACTTGCTTCCCTTCGTTCTTCCGGCCAACTTGCTATTCCTCCTCGTCCTCCTCCTCCTCCTCCTCCTCCTCCTCGTCCTCCTCGTCCTCCTCGTCGTCCTCGTCGTCCTCCTCGTCGTCGCCGTCGTCCTCCTCCTCCTCCTCGTCTTCATCACTCGACCCCCAGCCCCCCTCGTCGACGTACCTGTCATCCTCACTGTCCCTGCCATAGTCATGCAGGATCTGCAAATTCTCAAAACAACTCTCTGCATCCTCCTCTGCCTCGCTGTCCGCCTCGTCCCCTTCCCCTGCCACATCTCCACTCTCCTTACCCTCTACCTCCGCCCCTCCTTCCTCCTCTCCCCCTTTCCCTGCCGCATCTCCACCCTCCTCACCCTATCCCTCCTCCCCTCCGTCCTCCTCTCCTTCACCAACCACCACTCCCTCTCCTTCCTCCCCATCCCCCTCTTGAGCCCTTGCAGGAGCCCACCTCTCGTCTCGCCAAGGGAGAAAAGGACAGTCTCTGACATCATACTCGCGCAGCGTTGGCATTCTCCCGAGAGCAGTCGGTAGCCGGGCCAAATTGTGGCACTCTGTCACCCGCAGCACCTGCAGCTTCGGCAGCTTAGAGAAGGACTCTGGCAGGCTGCGCATGTGCTGCAGCCCGACGAGCACCAACTTTTGCAGGGAAGCCAGTTTCCAGAAATCAACCGGAAATGTCCTGATCCCATTCTTGGTGAGGATGCACGATTGCAGCTTGGACAGATTCGCGAAGGAACTTGGAAGCTTCATCAGCTTGTAGCAGTCAATGATCTCCAGCGTCTCAAGCATTTTCAGCTGCCCGAAAGACTCAGGCAGCTGCCGTAACGCAATGAGGTCAACCAGCTTTAAGACCCGCAGACCTGAGAGCCCTCCAAAGGTGTCAGGCAGAGCCTCCAACTGGATGGCTGAATCGATGCGGAGTATTTTCAGGCGTGAGAGTTGAGAGATGGAGTGAGGGAGTGACAAGATGAAGTTCATATCTAGGAGCTTGAGCTTCGTTAAAGAGGGGAGCTGGCCAAGGGACGGACCAAGGGCGTGGCAGGAAACCGACTTAATCTTGAGACTCGCGAGGGACGGAAGCAGTGCCCTGCTGTCGCTGCCGGTGCTGCTCGTGTCGGTGTTGCTGGTGCCAGTGCTGAAAGCGCCGGTGCAGAATGCGCAGGTGCGGTTAGAGTGTGCCAAAGAGCCACTGGAGGTGCGTTCGTGCACCACCTCATCCCCTAGCAGCGCACCAACCCCACAGCATGCCCGCACCTCCAGCACGCGCAGGCAGGGCAGCCTAACCAGCGACCCAGGGAGATCCCTCAAGCCGTCCATCCGTACGATCTTGACCACCTCGAGCGCCTCCAACCGTCCGATTCCCTCTGGCAGGACCGTTACTTTAGGGCAGTTTAGAATATCCAGGCTGGTGAGTGAAGAAGCTCCTGAGACGCGGTCAGGAAGGGCAGATAGGCGGGGCATGTGTTGAAGCACCAACTCTCTGAGGCTTTTCAGGCAGCCGAAACCGTCTAGTAGGGTGCCTCTAAAGCTTTTAGCTTTGATAATCTTGAGGGTTTGGAGAGAAGTCAGGCCGGAGAAGGTTGGAGGGAGGTGGGTGAGAGATGAGCAGCGGTTTAGATGCAGAGATCGCAAGCGGTGCAGACCGTTCCCCATTTCATCTGGCAGCGCGGTGAGGCCCGTGCACGTCTCAATCTCCAGGTGCTCGAGAGACGATAGCTGGGACAGGGTGTCCGGAAGTTGCTGCAGCTGCCCGCACTCCTCTATTTTCAGCTCCCGGAGAGCTGTCAGCTGCCCGAGGGAATCAGGCAGGCGTGTGTGCTGGCAAAGGTTTTTCAGGTGAAGCGTTTCCAAAGCACTCAGCTGCCCTAACTCCTCGGGCAGAGACGGCAGGTTCCAGAGATTATCCAAGGAAAGCTCTTGGAGCGTGGTAACCAGAGCGATGGAACAAGGAAGACTTGCGAGCTCCTTCATCTCCAAATTCAGTGTTCGCAGCTTTGACAACAGCCCAACATGGTCAGGAAGAGCTGAGAGTTGTGGCATGTCAAGGGTGGGACTGGTAAGCGAAGGCAGGCGGAATAGCGACTCAGGCAGAGAGGTGATATCGCTGCAGCGTTTGATAACGAGAGTCTTGAGACGGCACAGATGCTCTAACGCCTCGATTAGCCCGCGCATTCCCTTCACTGCTTCCAGACAGACTGATTCGAGCCTCCATAGCCGCGGAAAATCGACGGGAGACGGGAGAGGAAAGTTACAGCCCCTAATCTTCAGGACGGTGAGAGAAGGAAGGTCGGTGAGGGACGCAGGCAGCTGCATCATGGAGCAGAAATCCAAGGATAGAAGGTTCAGATTGGCAAGTTGCCTGAAAGATTCCGGAAGCGACGCCAGGGAGCGGCAACCGTGCAGCTTGAGCGACGTTAAGAGAAGCAGATTGCCGAGATCTGACGGCAACACCTCGAGTCTGCCAGCGTGCAGCTCGAGGCTTCTGAGGGATTGCAACGAGGTCAGTGTGTCGGGAAGACGCGTGACAGCGTTTGCCTCGAGACGCAGGCTCCTGAGCAAGGTGAGCCGGTCGATTGATGGAGGAAACATGGCAGCACGCTGCGAACACTCCAAATAGAGATCTTCTAGTTGAGTACACTTGTTGAAAAGAAGCTCCAGGCTCTTCTCGCTTACGCCTTTGCGACTATATATAGAACGGTCCATCGATTCTACTCGAAGCGCGGTCAGATCAGGACACAAGTCCGCGACGCGAGAGAACAAGAAATCCGAGGGTGCGGTGAGGCTGTTGGTTGGAAGAATGAGCCTTCTGAGGTTGGTGAACAACGCCAGGCGTTGCACGAGCCGACGCGGATCCATGCGGAGGTTCGACGGCAAGTGTATCTCATTCTGCGAGCGGTACGCGAGGAGACGCCATTGCTTGCTAACACCTGCATGCTCCACCTGGCCATCCGGTCGAATCAGAAGACGCAGGATCTGAGACAGCAGCTCCTCCGGTAGCCGTTGGATAGGCGACTCGACAGCCATAGGTACTAACAAGACACTAAGGGCGTGTAAAATCGGCGTGCATTTTAAACAAGCTTCGACGTTTACGTCGAAAGGGTTGCGTAGGGTTGTATCCACTGCGTTTACTAAGTTCTTCATGATGAGGTATAATAACTTAAAACATGACAAGATAGATAGTCCCTTATTACGGCGAAAATACATTTTCTAGAAATTTCTTCCCTCAAAATTGTTTTGAGTGCTAATTAATATGGTTCAAATTTTTTTGATCATAAAAAGATGAATTGTTTACACATAGTGCATATTCTATAGTTCTATCAGCGTACTATAGCGGGTTTTATGTTTGCAATTACTGTACCGTATCTGCTGTGTCAGCTAGTGGGATGGCGTGGCACGCATGTGTTTTCACGTGACACTAGCTTTCAAGTCTAGTGTTTAGTATTGCCAAATACCTAGATTTTGTTTTTGCTTGCCATTCACCCTTGTGCTCATATTGCAATGTATACTGTACATAGAAAGTTTCGGTTCCTCGTTCTGCGCTGGCAAAAAAATTCTCGCCAGCTCCACGACAACCACAACCAAGGGATATCCGTCCCTTTCACAGCTGTAAAACCGAATTTGACGCGCTCTTCATTTCTTGGTTCTTGTTCGTTTCTCTCGAGAAGCACCTGCTTGCTCACTCTCCCCACCACCCCATTCTCTTCTCTAGCTTTTTCTCCTAACACCCCGCCGTCGCTAGCACCTCCCACCCAGCCGTCGCTCTCCCTCCCATCCCCCGTATCCTCTTTCTCCCTCCTCGCCGTCGCGTCTCCTCCTTCCCGCCGTCGCCTCTCCTCCTCCTCGCCGTCGCATCTCCTCCTTCCCGCCGTCGTCGCCTCCCACTCCTCCCCGCCGTCGCCTCCCCTCCTTCTTGCCGTCGCCTCTCCTCCCCCCGCCGTCGCCTCCCCCTCCTACCCGCCGTCGCCTCCCCCTCCTCCCCGCCGTCGCCTCCCCCTCCTCCCCGCCGTCGCCTCCTCCTCCTCCCCGCCGTCGCCTCACCCTCCTCCCCGCCGTCGCCTCCCCCTCCTCCCCGTCGTCGCCTCACCCTCCTCCCCGCCGTCGCCTCCCCCTCCTCCCCGCCGTCGCCTCCCCCTCCTCCCCGCCGTCGCCTCCCCCTCCTCCCCGCCGTCGCCTCACCCTCCTCCCCGCCGTCGCCTCCCCCTCCTCCCCGCCGTCGCCTCCCCCTCCTCCCCGCCGTCGCGTCACCCTCCTCCCCGCCGTCGCGTCACCCTCCTCCCCGCCGTCGCCTCCGGCGACAGGTGCACGAGCGCCAGCGCGAGTTGGTGCGCGAGCGCGAGTTGGTGCGCGAGCGCGAGTTGGTGCGCGAGCGCGTTGGTGCGCGAGCGCGGATTTTTTCATGAGTTACCGTGGTTTTCAGGTGCGTTCCCGGTCCTTTCATTCTCCCTTCCGCCTCTAAAATTTCTTCTTTTTTTGCTCTCGTCGTTTTTTTTCGTGTGCCGATTGGTCTCCTCTTCCGTAGCTCTCTTCGTGAAAAAAGGGAGAGACGCGGAGCGCGAGGAAGAGCGTGTGCACGGGAGCGCACGCACAGGAGAGTGCGCGTGAGAGAGCGCGTGAGAGAGCGCGTGAGAGAGCGCGTGAAAGAGCGTGTGAGAGCGCGTGAGAGAGCGCGTGATATGGCGCGTGGGATAGGGTGAGAGAGTGCGCGTGAGAGAGCGCGTGAGAGTGCGCGTGAGAGAGCGCGTGAGTGTGCGTGAGAGTGCGTGTGAGAGAGCGCGCGAGAGAGCGCGCAAGCGTGCGTGCGATAGTGCGCGCAAGGGAGCGCGGGAGAGAGCGCGTGAGAGCACGCGTGAGAGAGCGCGTGAGAGAGCGCGTGAGAGAGCGCGTGAGGGAGCGCCGCCGGAGAGTGCGCGAGAGAGAGCGCGTGAGAGTGCGCTCGAGAGTGCGTGCGAAAGAGTGCGTGAGGGAGCGCGCGAGAGAGCGCGCAAGGGAGCGCGCGAGGGAGCGCGCGAGCGAGCGCGTGAGGGCGCGTGAGTTTGCGCATGAGGGAGCGTGCGAGAGAGGCGTGAGAGCGCGCGCAAGAGTGCGCGCGAGAGTGCGCGCGAGAGTGCTGGTGTGAGTGCGAGGGCGAATGCGAGCGTGAGTGTGGATATGAGAGTGAGGGCGAATGTGAGGGTGAGTGCGAGGGAGAATGCGTGCCTGAGTGCTGCGGGTGTGTGTGAGGGTTTAGAGGTTGAGCGCGATGGTGCGGGTGTGATTGCAGTGGTGAATGCGAAGGCGAGTGCAAGTATGATTCCAAGCGTGAGTGCGTGCATGTGTGAGGATGATCGTAAGGGTGAATGTTGAGGTGAATGCAAGGGTGGCCGCAAGGTTTTGCATGCATTCTGACATAATGTTTACTATCAAGTCACATTTGTAAGATGCCAAATTTGAATGTTTCCATCACTCATCTTTCGTTTGTATATTGCATTCTTCAGCTTCAATTTCAGTTCCGCTTACGTTGTTTTTTAGTGAATCGGACAATTTGTTTCTTGTGCGTCATGGAATCTGCATTCTCTGATTTTGTTTCTTTGTGCAACTCATGCAAGCTGTATTCTTTGATTTTGTTTTTGTTTGTGCAGGGAGTGAGTTGCATTCGCTGTTTCTTCTTTCCTGTGCAGGGAGTTCAAGCTCCAGCCTTCTTTTCTTGCGGAGAAAAGGGATGGGGAGAAGGGAGATGAGGGAAATGAGGGAGGGAGGGAGGGAGGGAGGGAGGGAGGGAGGGAGGGAGGGAGGGAGGGAGGGAGGGAGGGAGGGAGGGAGGGAGGGAGGGAGGGAGGGAGGGAGGGAGGGAGGGAGGGAGGGAGGGAGGGAGGGAGGGAGGGAGGGAGGGAGGGAGGGAGGGAGGGAGGGAGGGAGGGAGGGAGGGAGGGAGGGAGGGAGGGAGGGAGGGAGGGAGGGAGGGAGGGAGGGAGTGGAATGGGGCACAAGCTAGTAATGATTTACACAAGGCTGAACTTCATTCATTACGCTTGCATGCTTATTACCATAGCTGTACCGTATGCTTTTTGCGTTGTGTGTGTCTGTGTATGTGTGTGAGTGCGTACATGTGCATATGTGTGTGGTGTTTTGTTTCGAGGTGTGGTGCTAAGTGCCTCGTGAATGCAACTCGGATTGTGATCGTCGGTGGGGCAGCTTTGCTAGCCTCTTCCGTACCATATCAATCTTAGTTGCAGCATTGATGCATTTAGTATTCGCTTTGAAACATTCTCAATCGTTGTCCTCTGTTTTTGTGACGGTTTGTGTGTTATCGTCTGTGCTTGTTTCGGGGGTGTGGTACTAAGTGCCTCGTGTATGCAACTGGGATTGTGATCGTCGGTGGGGCAGCTTTGCTCGCCTCTTCCGTACCATATCAATCTCAGTTGCTGCATTGATGCATTTTGTATTCCCCTCAGAACATGTACGACGGTTCTTGTACACCATCGATTTTGTACTCATTTGTGTATGTGTGTGTCTTTAGGTGGTACCGTTGTACAGATTTTCTGTGTTGTCTTTGTGTTCGTGGGCCATTTGGTATCGTCATTAGTGCTAGAACGATTGTCCAATTGTTCCATTCGCCGTACTTATCGACGATTATGGAATGGTTGGAAACATTTGTTTTCATTTTTCCGGGGAAGTTACCGTGAATAGTGATTTCTTTCATAATTGATGGGAGAAATTCACTGTTCACATCAGCCAACCGAAAAGTGAAAACGAATGTATAAGGTTGCTACGCAACCCAAAAATGGGGTTTGGCCGGGTTTTTGTCGACCAAATGGTCGACACTTCTTTCGCACATGTCGACCTGATGGCCAAATTAGAGTCGACCAGTATTTGCAGGTCTGCAAATTTTACAACTTTAGAGGCCGAATTGCTGGCCGACTCCAGAAAACTTGTAAAATTTGCAAGTGCTACAGTAGGAACGTTTGTGCGACGGGGTCGCACATATGACGGCGAAGTCTCTGATTCGACAAGAGAAAATAATCTGTCGTTCTGCGAGACTGTGCGACGTCGCACGTGACAGTCGCTCACGGAGTCGACTACTTGGCCGAATTGGAGTCGACATGGTGTCGAATTCGAGTCGACTTTCAAAACGGCCATCAATTTCGTTTTTTATTCGCGAAATTTGCGATGGTCGCGAGCGTCTTCGTGAAACTCGCAAACGGGTTACTTTCGCCAATTCGGCCATTCGGCTTGTGGCCGAATTTTTAGGTGCAGAGATTTTACACGCCCTAATGAGTTCAGCTTATTAAGTCTGCCTTTTCTGCAAGCTAGACCAGTCACAAAAGAGAAGCTAGGCCAGACAAACCTCAAGAGGTGTGTCAGTTGCTGATCTCCCGAAAGCCTGACTCTTCTGGTTGTCAGTGGAACCGTACTGCACCTCTCAAACTGTCAAACGTTTCCCGCCAAAATATCCCACGAACGGAAGATTTGCGAATTTTGGACAATGGCTCAAAGGCGCTGCTGTTGGGTGAATTCCTTCCGTGCCTCTGCGAAGCTCGAACGCCCCCCTGTGTTGTTGACATGACAAATGAGCCCACAACATAGCGACGGGGGCTGTACCCGTTTATGGATGCGGACAAACCATTCCTAGAAGTCAAGTTTTGTAGCACACTGGCATCCTGGTTAGTAACACTGCACCTTCAATATCTTCAGCGCCAAGTGCAGCTCAAGAGCAGGCAGTGCCAATACACAGAAATGCCGATATACCCACACAACAACCACAACATAACTCATTCACACGCACCTGTAGAATATTCTTAACTACGCGCACATTCGGTAAAACACGTATAGAAACTACTCGATCGTTTGGCACAACCCTCTGCCTTCAACTCCTTCCTACAGCTCCTGCACCTCCCACACCTGTCGATCCTTCTCCTGATGCGGTCTCATTCGAGAAAATCGGCAAGCCCACTCCCTCCAGCGACTCACTCCCCCTAACCTCCCCACGGCGCAGCACAATGAACCCAGACCCCTTGGTCTCAGGCACCTGCTCAAACCCCCCGTGCTGCGACAGGAAGGTAGCAGGGATGCTGGCGCGGTCGTTGGTGGAGGGGGAGGGTGAGGAGGCGGCAGTGGCAGGGAAGAGGCCCGGGTGCGAGTCAAAGATGGCCGTGCGGGGCCCGGTGAGCAGCCAGTGCGCGTCGTGGTGCGGGGAGGGCGCGTGGAAGAGTGGCTCCTCGTTGCCGTGCGTGTTGATGCGCACGAGGTCGAAGCGTGGCAGGGCGAGGAAGCGCAGCAGGAAGGGGCCTGACAGCCCCGGCACCACGTCCGCCTGCACCCAGCTGGACTCCGCGCCCTGTGTGGGGATGAGACGAACAAGCAGTGGCATGTGCGGGATAAAAGTGCGACACTAAGTGGGCAGGGACGAGAAGCAAACAGGTGGGCAGAGCAGCAAACAGATTGGAGCATGGAAGAGGGAACGCGGTCAAAGTGGCAGAGGGAGGCAAGAACAGAAGGCTTCACATGCGGCACACCTGGGCGTTGATGGACTGGGCGGGTGTGAGGCGGCCATCCTGCGCCACATGCAGGCTCGTCTCGTACGGCCACAGTCCGCCCCTCACAGCCACCACGTTGGGCAGCGCTGCTGTGTTGCGCTGCAGAGCGCGGAAGCTGCTCTCCCCCGCCTCCACCGCCACCACCGTCGCTTGCGGGTTCCTGCGATGCGATGCGAGGACAGCAGCAGCGCATGCGGGTGGGGTGTGGAACAGGCAGCGGGGTTGACTCCCTAAGTCTTGCAAGCATCCTGGCATGCGTGTCCTCTAAAGGTATGCGTTTTGGCACCATCCACACCCATTTACCCGCGCCCCGACGCTCGACCCATGTCCCTCCTCTCATGCGAGCAGCACTCGCAGGGCGGCGAGCAGCACTCACAGGGCGGCGAGCAGCACTCACAGGGCGGCGAGCAGCACTCACAGGGCGGCGAGCAGCACTCACAGGGCGGCGAGCAGCACTCACAGGGCGGCGAGCAGCACTCACAGGGCGGCGAGCAGCAGGGAGAGCACGCCGACGCCAGCACCAGCGTCGAGGATGGCGAGCAGAGAGGGGTCGGCGCGCAGCACAGGCAGCGCCGCGTCCTTCTCGTAGAACTGGTGCAGCGCTGCCGTGTCTGCGCAGGGGGCAGGGGGGTGCGGGAGGGGGGTGCGGGTGGGTGGGGAGGGAGGGGAGAGCAGGAAATGCGAAGGAGGGAAGAAGGACGAAGTGCAGGGAGGTGAGGAGGGGAGCGGTGAGTGAAGAGAGCCAGATGGCGATGGCAGACATGGCCAGGCGTTGGGCCATGGAACTTGCATGTGGTGGCAGAGCAGTTCTCGTCTTGTATACAATACGCTCCTTTGGGCTCCCCTTTTGCATCCCCGAGTGTCACACCATCACTGCATCTCCAACAACTCTCCAGTCCCTCCCTTCCCCACCCCAATTCCCACCCGCCGTTCTATTCCGCTCTACTCTATGCACCTTCCTTGAGGTGGGGCGACGCACCTTCTTTGAGGTGGCGGAGCCAGAGGGCGTGCAGGCAGGGGAGGTGGGGGAGGCAGCCGAGGTCGCGGCGGAGGGAGCAGGCGAGCACGCAGGAGAGCCTGGCGGGGTCGTTGTCCCTCGACACCTCGCGCTCCAGCAGCCCCCAGTCCATCCACACGCCGCCCAGGTAGTACCGCGCCTCGCCCATCCCGCAGTGGTGCGCGCGCTGCAGCGCCTCCGCGAGCTCATCCTCGCTGTAGGCGCACAGGTGTGTTGCCCCGCGGTGCCCCGCGCGCACTGCTACTGCGCCCGCGTGCGCGGTGCGCGGGGCGACGCTGTTGGAGAGCGCCGCCACCGCGGGATGCACCTGCGGGGCGGAGAGGGGGACGGGGGAACGGATAGGTGAGGGAAGGGGATGCCTTGGCGAGGAGAGGCGGGAAGGGGAGGAAGAAGGCAAAACGGAGAGGCCGCCTTGGGAGAGAGACGAAGAGGAGATGGGATGATGCAGGCATGCATGGTGGCGGACGGGTGCGGTGGATGGGTGCGGAAGCGCGGGGATGGTAGAAGGAGGATGAGAAGGAGCATGAGAAGGAGGATGAGGCGACATGCGACGGCCCATGGCGTACCGACGCGACGTGGTCGTCGAGGTGCGCGAGGAACGTCTGCTGAAAGCGCTGCTGCTCCGCCAGCAGCCGCTGCAGCCCCTCCCCATCGCGCCGGTCGCGACGCCACAGCGCCACCGCCGCCCCCACAAGCACCGCCGCCAGCACCATCGCGCCCACCGCCCGCCGCGTCAGCGGCGCTCGCTCCCGCGCCATCCGGGATGTTGAGTGGGAATGAGGGGGAGATTCTCGCTAGGCCATGAAAGCCCTGGTGTTGAACGGGAGATTGGGAGGCGGGAACGGGAGGAAGCGAGAAGGGGAGATTAAGGGGAGGGAAGGGGAGGTGAGGAGGCGGGAAGGGGAGACGGGAAGGTGGCAACGGGAGATTGGGAGGCGGGAAGGGGAGATTGGGAGGCGGGAAGGGGAGATTGGGAGGCGGGAAGGGGAGATTGGGAGGCGGGAAGGGGAGATTGGGAGGCGGGAAGGGGAGATTGGGAGGCGGGAAGCGGAGACGAAGAGGCAGGAAGGGAAGCCGGGGAGACGGGAAAGGGAGAAAGGGCTGGCGAGACCGGGAGGCCGTTTCGGTTCCGCGACGCGATCTCACCTGCGGCTGCCACGGCTAGTGCAGAAACTGCGTAGCGAGGCCGTGCGAGCAACTGTGATGGTGCGAGAGCACGCTGTTCCGCAGTTTGAGGCTCGACGAGCGTGTTCACAGTGGCGCGAGGACGCAGCGATGTGCGGCGAAGCGACGCCGCGAAGGGCGACGAGGCGAGACTGCGGGACGAAATCCGACGAGGCGGCTCGGCTCGGCAGGCCACTAGTTCTGGCGCGGCGAGACCGCGAGCAGGGGATTGATGCGGCGCTCTTGGGCTGCGAGGCGATGCCTCGAGGGTAGGCGTGGCCCTGCCTCAATGTTCGGCGGTGAGGCAGCAATGAGTCGAGGCCGCGAGGGAAGGCGTGGCGAACATATCAGTGGGAGGCGACGAGAGAGCAAAGAAAAACAACGCGAGGAAGAGAGTGACGAGGTGAGGCAGCGACCTTGCACGTGACGAGAGTGACCATTAGGCGGGCTTTGGCGATTGAATGCGCATTTGGCGGGGAAGGCCTGGGCGGACTGTCAGGTGTCTGGCCTGGATCTAAGCGATCCGTTATGGTCGCTTTGCGCTCCGCTATGGTCGCTTGGCTCGGGGGTTACGTATAAGCTGAGGACGAGATTTTTGCTGTAGAAACGGTTTTGTGACAATTGTCTGCAGCGGTACAATAGTATCTATTTGCAATAGTACACTCGGTTTCAACAATTATTTCCAGAAGTTTTAAAGGGTGGCATTTTTGCAAGCTCCAAATTTAGATTTAGGGAATCCCGACCTCCGCTACACCACATGTTCTGCTATGTAGTTGCCTCTAAGATTCACCCTAATTTAGTTATATTACGATGGTGGTGCACCTTCTAGCTGCATGGTTATCATCTATTTGTACTCAAAATCAATACCGGTAGTGTAGTGCAACCCTCCTTTGTCAACCATCCTTTCAAAGTCTAGAACCTACCGTAATCACGCGTATATAAGACCCTAGGGTCTTATGATAATCATCCCTAAAAAGCTGGGGGGTATAATCAAATGGTATATATTTTATACGACCTGGGTCTTTTCAAATTGAAATTTATAAGAATGTAGTTTTGGAGCTCAAAGAAGTGTTTTGGAATTGCTCCGTTTTTAGCTCCTCCCAAAAATACTCCACACGGGCCGTGAGGTGGAGGGTGGAGCGGGATGGGAGGATGATGGCGATGAGTCGTGGGGAGAAGAGCGATATGTTGGGGGGGAGGTGGAGATTTGGGTTGCGGGACATGATTAGGATGGTAATGTGGGTGCACACAAAAATCAACATGGAATTTGACCATTTTCAATTGCATTTCTGTAAAAATCCGCACTTCCCTAGGATGTGGGGGGTCTTATAATGTTAGGAGCCATTTAGGGGGGTATAACTCAGATGTACTCGAATAGAGTACCCCTGTCCGTATTATAGACCCGGGGGTCTACAACTGGAGGGGGTCTTATATACGGGTGATTACAGAGTCTAAATTGGTTTCATAACAGGTCCCGGGCCATGCCGCTCCCTTTTAAGCTCCTATAGTGTTCTATCCGTAGCCCGCTCAACGTGTTTTTTACATGACGAATTCGCCAGAGTCCCGTGGCGAGCGCGCCAATGGCTCATGACAAATGCACCACCATGCCAGCGGGCCAGGGTCCTCGCCAGCAACCCCGCACGTGGCCCGCCATCGCGCCCACCAGCGACCCGTCTGTGAGCTCGCCATCGGCTTGCCAACGCTTTGCCTAGCATTAGCTATGGGGGGGAAGGTGACGGGGTGGGGGGGAGGCTGGGGAGCAGCGGCGGGGTTGTCTACATCGCCAGCACGCCAGTCCTGGCTCCCTTCCCCTCCCCTTCGCCCCACCAGCTCCTCCCGTGGTGCTCCTACAGTGGGGAGGAGGTGGAGAGGGTGGCGGCCAGAGAGGGAGGTGGCGTGATAAGATGGCCACCATGAGTCTTTTCCAGCTCCCACGGCAAACCGCCTACTCCTGTCTCTCACTGCTGCGCCTGGAGTGAGGAAGGGTGGAGGAAGGGAGGGTGTGGGAGTGGCGGGTGTGACAATATGTCCGTCAGCGGCGGTTTCTCTACATCTTACTCTCTCCTTTCTCTCCCTCTCCCCTTTGCTGCAGTGGGGAGAGGGGGGAGGTTGAGGGCGTGGTTTCTTCCGCTCTCTCTCTCTCTCTCTCTCTCTCTCTCTCTCTCTCTCTCTCTCTCTCTCTCTCTCTCTGGACAAATGAAGAGGCGAGGCGGCTAAAGCACCGAGCAGCTAGCTACCAAGGCAGCCAAACCGTGCCCCTACCTTCCAACCCTGGGCTGGTAGCGCCGTTTCCTATTGGCCGGCTCCCAACCGAGGCGAACCAGCAGGCCACCTACAACCAGCCGGCCACCAACCCCTATTCCCACCACAGCCCCCAAATACCTCTTGTCAAATCTGCCCACCACCTGTTTCTTCTACCCCCTGTCCCTCTCCTCTCCCCTCCCCCCCCCCCCCCCCCCCCCCCCCCCCATCCCTTCTAACTAATCCTCCAAGATCCCGTAGCCGAGATGCCCAGAGGTCTGGGGGAAAGCGTCTTCGGTCGCCCTGTTGGATTTGGTTAGAAGCGAGGTCACTTGGCACCACTGCAGCATGACGTACCAGCGTTGGCGGTAATGTGCATTGAGTCTCGCCACCACTGTCATGTGGGATCCCTGGCGGAACCCTCTCTTAGCCGCGTATGTCACCAGGAGGCGCAGGAACCTCTGTGTGTCACCTGCAAGTGCCCCATATGTCTCCACTGCCAACCCAAAGAACCCCACACAACCCGGTCTGCTTGTGTACAGCTTGTGTTTCTTTAATGCTGGCCTCCTCGACAGCCCACCTCGGTTTCCAACAGGCCTGCAGGTCTCGCCGCTGCAAGAAAGGATCAGTCACCGTGACGTATGTGACCCATGTCCCTCTCAATTCCGGATCCCTTATGATGAGATCTGCCTGTTTCTGCGCCACAAGGGATGAGAAGGCTCTGGTTTCATACAGTGTCATGAGCTTGGCCCCGTGTGCCCTTGTTCTGCCCCCTCTTCCCTGCATTGTAGCAGGTGGTTTGGTAGGCTCATGTCGTTGATGTCTAAGCGCTCCCGACCACATGGGCACTTGTCGGTGATGGGTAACTCCATCCCTAGGCGGAGGCCGAGTGCCATTGCGAACTGCCCTGGTGCAAAGGTTAGGTCCGCCCGCATAGGGACCGCATGGAGCCAATCACCGGCCCCCATTCTTTGGAGGCTGAGTAGATGAATGAGGTGGCGAGAAGCTCCGCCCCTCGGGCCCTATTTATGTGGCGTGAAAGGAGTAGCTACAAGTGCGTTTGGTTGTTGGACTGGTTCCGGTAGTCATATATCGCTAGCCTGGCGTTCGCCGGCAGGCGTGCCTCCATGTCAGTGAGCGGCGATGCTTCCTCCCCCTCAGGTATGTACCCCAGTGCTAATAACGTGCGTACTCATGTCAGTGATTGGTCTGGCGGGATGTTCACCTGCTGGATGAGTCGGTGTGCCACGCTGATTGAGGCGAGGTATGCTGCCGGGGCTTCCGACATTGGGTCGATGCTGCCAACCTGCCCAGGCTGATAGGGAGCGTTACCTACCGCCACATAATGCTGTGTACCAGTTCGGCGGCTGGGTAGTGTAGGCCTGCCACCGGAATGGCGCACTGCAGCAGATGTTTGCTCCAGAAGCGACAATCTCCGAGTTGCAATAGGTCTGCTGGTGTTGTGCACAGTAAGCAGGACGCCCTCCGAGAGATGCAGCTAGAGAGCAGCAATAGCGCGTGCTGCAAGTGCATCTGTTTAATGAGGTCGGTTGACTCAACTGCTTGCGCCAGTGCTATGCGTAGGAAGTTTGCTTAGTCTGGGGTCCCCACACGGATGCCCTCCTCCGCCGCTGTAATACCTTCTGGCAGGACCACTCCCTTGTTTGCTATGCTGTGTCCCCACGCCGACGACTTCTAGACATTGCACCTCAGGCCACAAGCTGCCGGTCCAGCCTTGATTGTATCAAAGGGTTGCGCCGCTTCCTCTAGGCGCCCTACGATTGATATCATTTGTGCACGCGACCATTGTGATTGACGGTATGGTGATAGCCGCCTGGAGTAGCAGAGGCTGAATCGATGCCGTGAAAAGGAGGGGGCCTAAGGGGTCTCCTTATCGGACTCTGCGTCTATTGTTAATGGTGGGGGCGCCAAACGATGTATCTAGTTGCAGCTCTGACGGCCCTGCCGTATAGTGTGCGAACTAGCGGTATTAAACTATCCAGCGCCGACCACTTTAGTGTTGAGACGAAACTAGCGCGCTCTACACTGTTGAAAGCGTTCTCGACGTCTAGTGTTATGGCCACTCGTTGCTTGTCCTCCACCAGTAGCGCCTGGACTATATGGATAATAAGTTCTGCACCCCCTTGCACTCCTATTCCATTGTGAGGGGAGGAAGAAGTCTCTGATTTGTGTGTTAAGCTCTCATAGCGCTGCCTTCGTAGAATGGCGCTATCCTCTCAGCATCCTTGCTCGCTTTGTTGCGATTGGGAGACACCTGGACGGCTGATAAGAGGGTAAATAAAAAAGTTGACGAGTGGGCTTATACTTGGATGGAGCTAGCTAGTGCGACTTACCGAGCATATTGACGCATCTTGGGCAGACCACGAGCAGACTCGCAGGTCGACTCAGGGCTACTGTTTTAGTCTAGGGTCTTCAGCTGCATCGTGCAGGTAGACACGGGAGCTATCTGTGGTGCAGTCTTCTGCTGAGGCCGGCATCCACACTGGTGCCATGGTTTCTCAGGAGCTCCGTTGGCTGACTTTCTTCCTCATTAATCTAGGTGAGCGGCCTAGCTCTGCACTGACCTTGTTCGCTGACAACAAAGTCATTATCCTCCTGCGTCGAGAGCCTTGACTAGAGAGCAGAGTGAAGCACTTCCATCTGCGGTTACTTTCTGCTGCAAGACCTGCAGCAGCGTGGCCTGGCATGCTTGGTCTGCGGCCAACACTTCGGACATCTTCACCAAGGCTCACCCGCCTTTTGACCACGACAGGTTCAATCCACATCTTGGCGTTGTTCTTGTGTTTTGTACTGGTTGTTTTGCTGTTTATACGTATATATACTCTTGAACTAGCCTTGTGGCCGCTTGTCTCAGAGGCTGGTTAGTTGTACTACTATGTTGTTTCTCTTGCTTTGTTGCTTTTCCTGACTAGTATTGTGACCCCTTGTTTCAATGGTTGAACTAGTTGAGCCCGCCTTGATTTGTTTCTTGTGTACCAGGCATAGGTTGTTAAGATAGCAAGCAGGAAATGACTGCATTGAATGAACCCCGTATGGGCTACCCCACTATAGCCTACACAGAACTAGCACAGATATAGTTTGACACACCCCCATAGGCAAAGTGGGGGAGAACAAGGGGTCACAAGACCAGTCAAGAAAAGCAAAGCAAGCTCAGGGTGGATCATAACGTCACCACACA